AAGAGCTGGCAACAGGACAGAGGGTCCAAGACCTCTGCCCCATACCCACAGCTGTTCTGGGTCACAGAGAGAGGAGATGGTCATCCTCCCTCCCCAGCTGCAGTTCAGGGACTTGAGAGCGAGGGAAATCATCCTTGCTCCATAGCAGGAGTTCGGGAGTCCAGGAGATGGAGCAGTTAGCTCATTTCCCCAGCGGCATTTCCACTGTCCGAGAGAGGAAGAGGTCGTCCTCTGTCCCCAGCGGCAGTGTAGTGACTTGGGAGTGCAGAAAGTCATCCTCGCTTCACATTAGCAGTCCGGGCGACTAGGAGATGGAGCAGCCGGCTCATCTCCCCAGTGGCAGTTCCACTGTCTGGGAGAGGAGGTGGTCTTCCTCCATCGTAGTGACTCGGGAGTGCAGGAAGTCATCCTCGATCCACAGTGGAAATCTGGGAGATGGAGCAGCCAGCTCATTTCAGTTCAAAAGTCCAGGAGAGGAGGTGGTTGACCCAGCACCTAAATGGGGTACGGGAGATGGAGCAGGTGGCTTATCTCTCCAGCGGCAGTTCAAGGACCAGGGAGGGGAGAAAGTCATTCTCCCTTCCCAGCGGCAGATCCACAGTCCAGGAGAGTAGGTGGTTGTCCTCCCTCCCCAACAGTCGGCCAGTTCAGGGACTCAGGAGTGAAGGAAGTCATCCTCGCTCCACAGCGGGAGTCCAGGAGATGGAGCAGCTGACTCATGTCTTTGTCCCCAGCTGCAGTTCAAGGGCAAGGAAGGAGAGGAAGTCATCCTCCCTCCCGAGCGGCAGTTCCACAGTCCAGGAGAGGAGGTGGTCGTCCTCCCCTCCAACAGTCAGTAAGGGCAGAGGAAACAGTTTTCCCTCCCCAGCAAGGATCTATGCTCCTGGGAGACAGTACCAGAGAAATGTCATCCCAGCAGCTGGATGGGGGTACGGGAGATGGAGCAGCCAACTCATTCCCCCCCGCGGCCTTTCAAGGACCAGGAAGCGGCAGAAGTCGTCTTCCCTCCCCAGCTGCAAGTCCACAGTCTGGGAGAGAAGGTGGTCGTCCTCCCTCCCCAACAGTCAGCTAGAGTGGAGGATTTGGGGTCCCCTGCTGAAGTGCTGACAACAGGGCAGAGAGCTGCTGTCCTCTGCCCAGCACCTACCGTGTCTTCACGGCTCCAGGGAGTTGGTGCGGTCGGCCTTTTTCCCCAGCAGCACACCAAACCCCAGAATGGTAAAAACCTCCCAGGTAAAGCGCTGGCAGCCGGACAGAGGGTCCAAAACCTGTGCTCCTCGCCTATTGATGACACCTTTCCCTGCGGCCATGGTAATGGTAATTGTATGGACCCCCAACTATGTGGGTTCACTCTGCCCGACTAACGCATCCAAAAACCGATGCCTAAACTGTTTCTACCTTAATGCTACCAATTAAGACAGTGTGAGTTTGGGGACATGCACCCGTGCAGCTTTCCAGTTGGAACCAGCGACTGTGTCCCAGTTGACATGAATGGGACTGCCTGCATGGAAATGAATGGAATGGAACTTCTGCATTTATATTTCATATTTTCAGTTGCATCTGAAAAGTTGTGTGCTGAAGGCTGCACTCCATGTTTTACTGCTATGCTGTAAATCGATATCAAATTGCATCTGAATTACTCACAGGGGAGAAAAAAACTTTCACCCTTAAACAAAAAAACTATCCCATACTTTTGTTTTTTTATTAATCATACTTATCTAGGTGGATGCAGCATCGGTCCCCGCCAGCTCAAAGTGTGAGAACTCTGCGATCACTCACACAAGTGGAAGCAGAGAGCTGTGACTGTCAGTTGGGATCTTTCCCCAGCCTGGACCGGCTGAGTGACGTCATAAACTGCACTCCTGTGATCCACGGAGAAGCACAGCCAAAAGAGCTTTGGCTCTACTTCTCCTTTAACCACTTGCCTACTTGGTACTTATAACCCCTTCGTGCCCAGGCCAATTTTCAACTTTCAGCGCTGTCGTACTTTGACAATTGCGCGGTCATGCAACAATGTACCCATATGAAATTTTTATCATTCTTTTCACACACATAGAGCTTTCTTTTGCTAGTATTTAATCACCACTGGGTGTTTTTTATTTTTTTGCTATAAACAAAAGAAGAGCAAAAAAAAAAAAGTTTTCTTTGTTTCTATCATAACATTTTGCAAACAGGTAATTTTTCTCCTTCACTGATGTGCGTTGATGAGGCTGCACTGATAGGCAGCACTGGTGGGCATTGATGAGGAGGCACTGAAGATGCTGCACTGATGCAGCAATGATGGGCACTAATAGGCGGCGCTGACTGACGGCACTGCTGGGTGGCACTGCTGGGCAGCACTGCAGGGCACTAATGATCAGTGCCGATCTGCTCTGTGACAGCTGCCGGTTATCAGCAGTACTTTCCTCACGCTGTCACAGTGTGAGGAAAGTGCTAGCGATAACCGGCAACTGTAATTACTCCGTAATCTGCCCTGTCATTGGAGACAGCTGATCACGTGGTAAAAGGCCACTGTGATTGGCCTTTACGTCACTACTTGATCAGGTGTGTCTGTAGGACACAGTGATAACGGAGATCGCTGGGTGCGTGCTGCTGGGGACGCATGGGAGGACGTCGTTTGACACCCTCCCAGAACTGGGTAACCGCACTGTAGCCGTCATTTGGCTATAGCACGGTTAGCAAGTGGTTAATAGATATGCATTTGTTTGGATTTTCTGTAAAAAAAAAAACAAACTTGGCATTCTGTGCTCAGTTTTCAAACTTGTAAGTAGGGATGAGGTTGGGGTTCACTGTCACCATGGATTCTGGTTCAAGATTTATGGTCCTGGCAGATTTATTTGTAGATTTGGCCTGAAACAATGTTTTAAAGCATAGTGCACTGTATGGCATTTGAGCTATGGCCAACAGGCTAAAAAAGGACCAATGAGGGGGCTTTTGGATATACCAGTCCCCTCACTAAACAAAGGGGACACAGAGCAGCCATGGTGTCATTGTTTTGAAAGCTGCTTTAGGGAAAGCTGAGAAACTGCGCAGGGAGAAATGCGGGTCATTTAGGCCACTCTACCTTCATTCTGATTGCTAGCTTTTTGGACAGTCAACCCTTTTGCTGCTTTTTTGTGGTTTTGTTCCAAGTCTTGTCCTGCTTCAAAACAACCACACCGTCTTTTTCCAGTGCAGCCTGTATTTCTCTAGAGGTCACCTGTGGGTTTTTCTTTCTATCCCAAACAATTCTTCTGGCAGTTGTGGCAATCTTTCTTCGTCTACCTGACCTTGGCTTGGTATCAAGAGATCCAGAATTTACCACTTCTTTACCACTTCCCGACCGGCCGTTGCATATAAATGGCCGTACAGTGCCACTGCAGGGTTGGGTGGCCGTTTATAAACGGCCTCCCCGCACCCTGCTTGTGCGCGCTCCCTGGGAGCGCGCAGCACCGCGATCCAGTGCCTGTTCCGGACACAGTGAAACACCGATCGTCGGAGAGGTCCCGATCATGTGATCACTGATTGGCTAATCAGTGATCACATGCAAAGTAGTAAGCAAGATGTCACTTGTGAATGATCACAGAGGTCACATGGTACAAGGCTATTCACAACAGCCTTGTACCATGTGACAAGCTGTGACCAATCACAGCTCACTCAGTACTTCTCAATGAGTGCAAGAATGCAGACAAAGAGAAAGAGAAATGATTGCTTTTACAGCCTTTATGGGTGTAATAGCAATCAGTGTAAAAAAAAAAAAAAAAAAAAAAATCTTCATCACCCCCCACAAGTAGTACAGTGTCACCATGGTGACACTGTACTGCTAGGGTGACAGTATGTAAAAAAAATGTAAAAAAAAATGTTTAAAAATTATAATTTTTGGTTATAAACTAATTTGGATTTTTTTTTTTACTAAAAAGATAACGGAATAAATTTTGGCCAATATTTATGATGAAATATTATTTATTTGCAAAATTTTATAAAAAAACACTTTTTTTTCAAAATTTGTGGACTTTTTCATTTACATAGCAAAAAAAATAAAAATCCCAGCGGTGAATAAATACCACCAAAATAAAGCTTTATCTGTTTCAAAAAAATGGTAAAAAAATTCATTTGGGTACAGTGTTGCATGACCGCGCAATTGTCATTCAAAGTTTGATAGTGCTGAAAGCTGAAAATTGCCCTGGTCAGGAAGGGGGTAAAAGTGTCCGGTCTGGAAGTGGTTAATATGTGATTGAACAGTACTGACTGGCATATTCAAGGCTTTGGATATCTTTTTTCATCTTTATAAAGTTCCATTACCTTGTTAAGCAGGTCTTTTGACCGTTATTTTCTGATCCCTATGGCTCCGTATCTAGCCTGCTCCGTGCATCCACGTTAGAGCTGCCTATTTATACACAGACACTAATTGCAATTTAAAAAGCCACAGATTTGGGAAATTACCCTTTAATGGCCATTTTAACCTGTGTGTGTCACCTTGTATGTCTGTACCAAGGCCAGACATTCTAGGGTATATAAACTTTTGATTGGAGCCTTATAAGTGATTTCTGTTACCAAAATGATTTAAAAATGAGCCAAACAACTATTTTATAATAAATGGCTTTATATGATTACTATCCTTTTAAATAAAAGACGTTTTTTTTTTTTTGTCATGATCAGTCATATTTTGAAAACCTATCTCTTCAGGGAAGCCTATCCTGTCCTCAGGTAATATTGGAATATTCTATTCCTCCTACCAGTCCATCCCTCACAGTTATTACCTTTTTGTACCTCTAGCCCCTCCCTCTTAGATTGTAAGCTCCAAGGATCAGGCCCTCCTATCCCTCTTGTATTGAACTGTATTGTTGCTGTATTGTCTCGCATTATATTGTAAAGTGCTGAGCAAACTGTTGGCGCTATATAAATCCTGTATAATAATTTCAATATCAAAGCCAAAATTTCATGATTTCTGTCAGGGTATGCAAACTTTTGAGCACAACTGTTTCCATTGTGTATATAATGCAAATTTAATGTGCCCACAGGTTTGATTACAAGCAGCCAATCAGCGGCCTATGCAGTCAGCAAGTTCATCAGTGGAGTCCTATCTGATCAGATAAGTGCCCGCTGGCTTTTCTCTTCAGGTCTCTGTTTAGTGGGCTTAGTGAATGTTGTATTCTCGTGGAGCTCCAGCGTGTCAGTCTTTGCTATACTATGGTTCTTCAATGGACTGGCACAGGGATTTGGATGGCCACCCTGTGGGAAGGTGCTCCGTAAGGTAAGCTTCAGCCAAACTGTTTTGACAGCTGTTGTGGTCTTCCAAAATAAAATTTGAAAGTTATAATACTTACCCTATCCTTTGCTTCCCAATTAGTCAGTGCTTAACTCTTCTCTCCAACACTCCCATCCAGGATTTGGGAAGGCCCCTGCTGTCCTCACATACAATACAGGACTGTTGACCCTGCATTGTACATGTCAGATGTGATGTCAGCCTGAAACAGGCGGAGCAGTGAAGGGGAAATGGCTTTGGGCACCGGTTGCAAAGTGAGCAAAGGATAAAGTACGGCTTGGTTCACACTTATGTGGTTTGCTTTTGATTACTTTCTGCAGTGCTTTTTGCGGTGCATTTTGCATTTTTGCATGCACATTTTTGATGCATGTGTGGTTTTTTTGTTTTTTGTTTTTAATGCTGTTTTTGGCCATTTTGCTGTTGGGCAGATTAAAAAAAACCCCAAAATGCATCAAAAACGCACTACATGCTTTTCTGCAGCGTCTCCATTTAAGTTTATTGAACCAAAAATGCACTGTTTTGCATTTTAAAAAAGTCCCTACCCCTTCCAAAAAAGCAGCAGCTGAAAAAAGCACAGATGTGAACATGTCCCATCTGTTAATGGACTGTAGTGTGTTTCTGCAAAAAGCACCAAAAAACGTATAGGTGTGAACCTGGCCTAATAGTTTAGTCCTCTATCTCTAGATATGAGTATTTAGCTTTTGCAGTGTGGGGAGGACCCATTGTAAGGGTCATGTTTGCTTATTTCCCAGAGTGGGGCTTTAAAATAGCACCATAGTCTAAGAATAAGTATTTTTCAGCCATGTGACTGAATTTTCAAATCTCATTGGGTTCATTAGGCTCAGCTGAATATATATATTTTTTTTATTTAAAAATAAAGATCCTTATGCTGATGTGTTAAATTTATGTACTTAAGCTAGGTTCACACTTATGCAGGTTGTGATGAGTTTTTGTAAGGCATTTTGCGGTGCAGTTTGAATATTTTCACATGTATTTTTTATGAGTTTTGCGTTTTTGTCTGCGTCTGTTTTCATACAGGAAAATACATTAGATGCTTTTTTATATGTTTTGATGCATTTCCATTGAAGTATGTGGAACCAAAAATTCAGTCTGCTGCATGCAAAAAAATCCCTGGCTCTTTCTAAAAAACCGCACCTCCTGAAAATGCACAGATGTGAAAGTGATCCATAGGAAATCATGTGAAATGGACTGTAATGCATTTTTGCAAATCTGGAAATGCACAGCAAAACTCAGAAGTGTGAACCTCGCCTACGCCTATTGAATAACTCTCAGCTGGGAACATTGTCAGTGTTGATGATCAGGTTTTGTGGGATGCTTGCTATTGTTTTTCTTGACAGTTATGCAAAATATTGGCATTCCGCAAACATTATATTGAAAGCCATATTCCTGCTAAAACGTTTTACTTTGTTTTGTGTAGTAGGGAAGGGCTACAGTCTGTGTGACACTATTGGGGAGATTTTCTCTTACGTATTGTCTGCACAAGATGTCATGGGAAATCTTTATGCTGAGGACGCAGACAAAAGGACATTTTGGGGAAGGGATAGAGCATCTTGCTCAATGTGTCTTTCCTGCCTTGTTGACAAGTGAGGGAAAATCTCCCCAGTGGAGTCACAGACAATAAAAGCCGATAGAACTTTTAGTTCTTTCCCACTTAAAAGAAAAAAAAAAAAAAAAATGTGGGTTGGAGTTGGGCATTAAAAGATAACCTACTTTTTTTCACTCTTTTGGCCTACAGCCCCCCCAACATCCCTTTCAATGCGCCTCTAAATCAGAGATGGGTTTGGTGCACGGGAGTCTTTAAGCACCTCTGACTAAATTGTTTTTCTCTGAGTTCATTGACGAACACAGTGGCTTCTTCTTTAACCTTAATGAAGCAGCCCGACCTACAGGAGTAGGACACTAGGCAGACAAAAAGACTTGGAAATAATAATATTATTATTATACAGTATATAGCGCCAATGGTTTGTGCAGCGCTGTACATTATAATGGGAGACAGTACACGAGACAGTACAGTAACAATACAATACACGAGGGGTTCGAGGGCCCTGTTCCTTGGAGCATACAATCTAGGAGGGAGGGGGAGAGTGGTACAGGAGGAAATAGCTGTGGGAGATAAAGTGGTGGGAAGAGCGGAAGAGCTCAGCAATTAGGTAAGGGCGGGGTAGGCATCTCTGAAGAGATTGGTTTTCATGGTGCGCCTAAAGGTGAGGAGGAAAGGTGACAGTCTGATGAATTGTGGTAGTGAGTTCCAGAGGATGGGGGAAGCCCTGGAGAAGTCCTGGAGACGAGCATGAGAGGAGGAGACCAGGGAACTGGAGAGTAGGAGGTCTTGTGAGGAGCGGAGTGTGCGTTTTGGGTGGTAGATGGATATCAGGTCAGTGATGTAGTTTGGAGCGGTGTTATGAACAGCTTTGTACGTCAATGTTAATGTTTTGAATTGTATGCGTTGGGCAATCGGAAGCCAGTGGAGGGATTGGCAGAGGGGGGTGGCGGATACGGAGCGGTTGGTAAGGTGGATGAGTCTGGTCGCAGAATTCAGGATAGACTGAAGCGGGGATAGCCTGTGTTGGGGTAGGCCGGCGAGGAGGGAGTTACAGTAGTCAAGTTGTGATATAAGGGAGTGAATGAGTTGCTTTGTAGTTTCAGGAGTTAGGAACGTGCGTATTTTGGAGATGTTGCGGAGGTGGAGTCTGCATGAATTTTTCAGCGATTGGATCTGGGGCTGGAAAGACAGATTGGAGTCTAGAATGACACCTAGTACTCTGGCTTGCAGGGTGGGGCTGATGGTGGCGTTGGTCGTGATGGAGAGCTCAGGGGGGAGGGGCGCAGGCTGGGGGGGAAAACCAGGAGTTCGGTTTTGGCAAGGTTTAATTTGAGGAAGTGGAATGACATCCAGTCTGATATGTTGTTCAGAAGGCTAGTGATTCTGGCGGAGACTGAAGGAGTGAGGCGAGGGGTAGAGAGATAAATTTGAGTGTCATCATAGAGATGGTAGTTGAAGCCGTGGGGGGAGTGTATCAGTTGACCAAGGGAGGAGGTGTAAATGGAGAAGAGAAGGGGCCCGAGGACAGAAGGGGGAGGTGGCAGCGTTATAGGTAACACTGAAGGAGTGTTGAGATAGGGAGAGCGCGGAGTCTCTGAGGCCAAAAGAGTACAGTTTTTTGAGGAGGAGGGGGTGGGTCGACCGACCGTGTCGAAAGCTGCGGAGAGGTCGAGGAGTAGTAGCACTGAGTAGTGGCCATTGGCTTTGGCGGTTAGCAGGTCGTTGGTGAGTTTGAGTAGGGCGGTTTCAGTGCAGTGTAGGTGACAGAAGCCAAAATTTAGGGGATCAAGGAGGTTGTTGTCGGTGAGGTGGGAGCTTAGGAGATTATAGGCTAAGCGCTCAAGGAGTTTGGATGAAAATGGCAGCAGGGAGATGGGTCTAAGGTTGTTTAGGTCAGTGGGATCCAGGGAGGGTTTTGTAAGTATGGGAGTGATGTGCGCGTGCTTCAGGGGAGAGAGGGGAATGTGCCAGTAGAGAGGGAGAGATTAAAGATGTGAGTGAGGGAGCATAGGATGGAGGAGGAGGGAGATCGTCGTAGGAGTTGTGTGGGGACAGGGTCAAGGGGGCAGGTGATAAGGCGTGCTTCAGAGATCTCAGTGACCTCTTCAGTGGTAGCAGGGTCGAAGGAGTGAAGTGTTCAGGGGGTTTTAGTGTGCGGAATGTTGGGTGGGGGTGGAGGTCTGGACAGTGGTGAGGTCGAAGGAGAGGCGTGTTGAAGGGGTTTTCGTGTGAGGGATGCTAGGTGGGGTGGAAGTCTGAGCAGTGGTGATGTCCCTGCGAATTGCATCGATCTTGCTTTGGAAGTGGTTAGCAATCTCGTGGGCGGTGAGTGAGGTACTGGGTGGAGGTGGGGGCAGAGAGAGCAGCAGAGAGTTGAAGGTGGAGAAGAGCCGGCGAGGGCTGGAGGAGAGGGTATTGATGAGAGTTACAAAGTAGGCTTGCTTGGCAGCGTGGAAGGAGGAAGTGTAGATCAAGAAGGCAGATTTGTATCGGGTGAACGCTTGTTGGGATCTGGTTTTGCTCCATAGTCGCTCTAGCGTGTTCCCGTCGGAGTGGGTGGAGGACTGTATTCACTGTGCGAGTGCAAAAGAAGAGGTTAGGTGGAGGAGTTGGGATGTGGCCGGGCTATTGATGTTGGTAGGGATGTTGAAGTCTCCAAGGATGATGGTGGGCAGCTCAGAGGAGAGAAAGAAGGGTAACCAGGCGGAGAAGTCATCAAGGAACCGGGATACGGGTCCAGGGGGCCAATAGATTACTGCGATCCTCAGGGGGATTGGAGAGAATAGTCGGATGCAGTGGGCCTCAAAGGAGGAGAAGGATAGAGAGGGTGGGTTAGGGAGGACTTGGAAGGTGCTCTGCGATGACAGGAGCATACCAACCCCACCACCTTTTTGACCGCATAGGGACAAGGTGCTTTGGGAAGGGGGGAGTCCCCCTGCCCCAAAGCACCCCCCATGTTGATGGTATGGTTCAGGGGGGGGCTGCTCGTCGTCGTCCCCCCCCCACACCCCCCACTTTTTTTTTTAAATTGTGGTGTGGGAATTTCCCTTAAAATCCATACCAGACCCGAAGGGCTTGGTATAGATGTGAGGGGGAACCCCACACCTTTTTTTAATAATTTTTTTAATAGCCGGCAATTCTTTTACATTCAGCTGTCAGTGGGGAACTCTGCTGACAGCTGAAACATTAATACATGGTTGTCACTACTAAAATACCGCATGAGTTAATAAAATAACTCATGCGGTATTTTGGTAGCGTTTTACTGTTTTTCTGACCTTCGGAACGGATTAATTGGTTTTCAATGCATTCCTATGGGAAATAGTGTTTCGGTTTATGAATTATTCGCTATACCAAATGTCCTTTTTAGAAATTAAATTCGTAAACCGAGGTATTACTGCAAAGCAACCATAGTGCAGGTAATTTCTTAAAATCCAGAAGTAATTTATTAAAAATGCACTCACATTTGACAGTAGTAAATCTCATAGTAAAACAAAAGCTGTTAAGCTACAGTTGGCAATTTGCGGCGTCTCCGACCGTACTAGCGGTGTCCCCGGCTCTGACGTCACCTGGCTCCTCCCCGCGTGTATTGACTCTCTCTTCGTCATCATGGATGGTCCAAAGAAGGGCCTGGCGGCATCTTCTGTCACTATTTCTTGTTGGATTCGGCAGACGATTGTTCAGGCATAACATTAGGAGCCTCCCTTCCCAGTTACGGCGCACTCCACTGGGGCGGTTTGCGCCTCCTGGGTGTTCCGGCATCAGCCGTCTGTTTCTCAGGTTTGCAAGGCGACAACCCGGTCATCTATGCACACATTTACGAAGTTCTATAAAGTTGATGTTGGCATCCTCAAATGCTAGTTTTGGCCGCAAAGTGTTGCAGGCAGCTGTTTAAGGCTCCTGGGCCTCTCCTTTTTGGGGTCATTCGGAGTGTTTGGCTTGTTGCCATGGGGATTCTTTCCTTTTACATTGTATGGTTGCCCTCCATTCTGGCACTGCTTGGGAACATCCCTGCTTCGTTAAGGTTAAAGAAGAATCCGCTGTGTCCATCAATGAACGTAAGAGAAAACATGATATTTTTTTTTTTTTGTACTCACTGTAAAATCCCTTACTGAATTCATTTTCGGACACAGCTCCCACCCCTCTAGGGAGATCTCTCCTTTGACACTGCTTGTGATGCACTGGAGACCTATAGCAGAGATGGAGTTTTATACCCAGAGAGGTCTGCCCATAGGAGGTGCCATTTTTTTTTTTTTTCTGCCCAGTGTCCTCCTGTAGGTGGGGCTATAAAACCCTCCTTCTTTAACCTCCAGGGGAATTACCCCCCTTCCTGACCAGGCCATTTTTTTGCAATACGGTGCTGCGTTACTTTAACTGCGCCTTTGTGACCAAGCTGAAGCAAGGCCACCCTGAGTACTAAGTGGGCCTCCCCCGATGAGAGACCCTATGAGAGGAGGAGACCATGAGCAAAAGGCCACATGCCAAGTGACAAAACATACATGAAAAAAGGGAAAGGGGAAGTGGATAAGTACATGCGGGCCATAGTGTAGTACTATGGTGGGCCGTTCGGCCAGGAATAAAAAATTCCTCTGGTCCTGGCCAAAAGGCCCTGCCCTAGCAGCGGGTGCGAAAAAAAAGTGTGACTGGTGTAGTGACCAAGGTGCCTAAAACTCAAAGTGAGTTCCCTGACCGTGAAAATTTGGCTCCCCTGGACTGCCACTCCACGGGCACATACACCATGGGCTTCTTTCTCAGCCCAGCCCTCGGCCAAACCAGTGCAGCCCCATCCCTACCAGAAAGGCATCAGAACTTAGAAAGCTTAGGGAGAGCCTTGCCTACAACCGGGGACAAGCCTGGTGCACCGGGCCAGAATCAACACGGGAGGAAAAGGCTCCCCCACCACTCCCATTCCCACCTAATTACATCCGGGATTACTAACTGACTCCCCAATTGGCAACAGGAGCCAGGATTCTATCCCAGACAACTGATAAGAACATATACTACACTTGATCTTAGCCAAAAGGCAGAGAAGCGGCCACACATACAACATACTTGACTTCCGGAGCTAGTCTTGAGTGGCGTCCAGTCTCCCTCTTCTCTATCCCTTATCTCATCCCAGACATCCCAGAGTTTCTGTCCTAGTGGTCACAGGATAGAGAGCCAAACCCCCTGGCTACCAATCATTAGTGAGGACTGAGAACTATCTTTGTCCCATAGGGGACAGAACTGTAAAAATTGGAAAGGCGCCTATAATTTCCCAAATCATTCCCATGCTTTTTATTTGCACTGAATTGCATACATTTAGTACAGCATTTTATTCCTAGTAATTTAAATGAGTATGATGGGTTTGTGCAGCTTATTTACACTTTATTGCAATGTTTTGTGTTTTCCAGTGGTTTGAGCCTTCGCAGTTTGGCACATGGTGGGCGGTTTTATCTTGCAGCATGAATCTTGCAGGCACCCTTGGTCCTATCATTGCAACCCTTGTCGCAGCTAGTTATAGCTGGCGCAGCACTCTTTCAATGTCAGGTCTGATCTGTGTTGCAGCCTCTGTAGTGTGCCTTATACTCATTAAAAATGAGCCATCAGATGTGGGTCTGAAGAATATTGAAGAAGGACCCAAAAAAGGAAAGAAAGGTGAGCCTCAACTATGTATTCTACAGTAGAAAATCTGAAAGCTTTAGGCCTCATGCACACTGGGCACCTCTATGTCCATGTACACATAGGCATTTACAGGCATTTATTGGCATATTAGAAGAGGAGCATCCACAGGCTAAAAAAAAAAACAAAAACACCAAAGCTTCATTCAGGAGAGGAGTTGAAAAAGCATTGAACGTGCCTAAATGCATCTAAACATGCCTAAATGCTATGCGCATTTAACGTTTGAGTGTTAGTTTATTCCAACAGACAGAATAACTTATTATACAGGATTTATATAGCGCCAACCGCTTTCTCAGTGCTAAATATTTTGGTTAGTGGAATCCATTAAGATTCAAATGCTTGACATGCCTAAATGCACCTAAACCTGTGTGCAAGATGCAGCTTTTATTGCATTTGTAAGTACTGTAGCTTTTCTCCTGCCAGGAGTTCTGGTGTTCAGAGGAGCTTAAACACAAACCTTGTGTGTATGAGGCCTTAAAGAGTGACTCCACTTTTGTTGAGAATAAAATATTCCCTTCTGGGTGATCAATGTACATTGCAAAGATTTTAACAAACTTTGTTGCAGATTCCTACATTTTTGCTTTCTGAAGTAATAGCTGTTTGTTTTTCTGTGTCCATGTGCAGAGTAATTCTGTATGGGAGTGATTTCATAATTATCAGTCAGCTGCTGCACCTGCAGGGCTCTAATGAGGACAGTGGCAGGGTCTTCACCCCTTTAGACATGACTTTCCTTTGGGAATATCTCACCAAAAGTGACATTTTTGTTGCAGGGGAAGCCAAAAATCTGATCTTAGTGCAGGCTTCTGGGAAAATCAGTAAACCAATCACACAAGCAGAAAATGACATTTTCAGGGGGGTGTTCTGTACACTATCTGTGTACAGAACGCCTCCAGGTATCCATATGGCATTGCATTTTACAGAAAATTACAGCGATGCAGACTAAAAAGGAAAGGTGTTTTTTTTTTTATTTTGTTTTTGCAACGTTCGTTTATAATATGACTTGTGTCACAATTGTATATGCTATATTTGCATAAAAGTGGACTTACCCTATAAAATTTAAAGTGAATTTTGGAGTAAAAATGGTGCAGCAGAGCACAAGATTGCAAGGATATCCTCCTCTTCTTCCTTCTTCCCTCCTCCTCCTCTCTCCTCCTCCTCCTTTTTCTGTCTCCTCCTTTTTCTGTCTCCTCCTTTTTCTGTCTCCTCCTTTTTCTGTCTCCTCCTTTTTCTGTCTCCTCCTTTTTCTGTCTCCTCCTTTTTCTGTCTCCTCCTTTTTCTGTCTCCTCCTTTTTCTGTCTCCTCCTTCTTCTTTCTCCTCCTTCTTCTTTCTCCTTCCTCCAGTTGGGAAGACTTCTGTGTCAATAGCAACATTGTCACTGGGAGAGAATGGGAGGGGAAATCATCCACATATATATAGACAGCAATGCAAAGCTCATGGAGATTTTAACTTTTCCCCACTCCGCTATATGAAAAGTTTTTTCCTGCTGTTGTGTCCCTGAGGATTTCCCTCATTTCCTGTCCAGGTCACAGTGTTGCCACAGGGAGAAGAAGTGAGTAGAAATTTTCCCAGTGGGGAGAAGCAATATACTTGACAGAAGAACTAACCTTTCTCTTTTGTTCTGAAATCAAACCTCAGTTCTGAATGCAGTACAGTTTAAAATTCACACCTACATAGAAAATATCACAAAAGGCAACAATGCTAAGCAAATGAGTTCATATTAGATTACAATATCTCTGTGTTCGATTCATTCAATATGTCACAGTATGTAACCACTCTTCTTTCTACTGTATTATAATCCAAGGCTGAATCGCAGGCAGAAATATTTGATGAAGAATAAAATATAATCATTTGCTTTTTTCTGTTTTTTAAATAAACATTTGAGGCTACCTATACACACAGGCATCTGCAAACCATTCTCTCATGTTTAATTTCTGCTTCTACTGTATGAAAAGATCAGATTAAAAGTTCAGACGGCTTGATTGTTACCAAAATTAGTCTCAGAATTCAAATATTTTTGATCGTCACATTATTTGCTATGTCTTGCAATGGTATCTGTCAACTGTATAGAGTTTTATAACTGGTTCCAAAGACCACAGGATGCTATATAACAAGTGTGTGTTTTTTCCCAGGTTCTGGAGCTACAGATGAGACTACACTGAAGGAGTTTCTGCTGTCTCCATACCTGTGGTTGCTGTGTACTGGGTACTTGGTTGTGTTTGGAGTAAAGACATGTTGTACAGACTGGGGTCAGCTCTTTCTGATTCAAGATAAAGGGCAGTCTGCTTTAATAGGTTAGTATGTGTCACCCTAAATAATGAAATTAAAACTTTCACTTAAAGTAGAACTCTAGGCAAAGCCTAACCTCCTCCCCCTCCTAACACCTATTCTGACTAACCTGTGTAAAAACATCTGTATACTTGCCTATTTACAGCCTGCTTTGGTCCGGTCACGTAATCCAGCTCCCCTATGTCAGCCAGCGGTGGCTGTAGGGTAGAGGAGGGAGAGCTAATAATGGAAGGGCCATAGAAGCCTATGAGTGATGTCACCACACCCAGGCATTACCAGCCTTGTCAAGCACTCTTTCCTCTCCCCTGCAAGCTGGTGTTGACTGACACGGGGAGGATCATGTGACTGGACTGGAGTGGCCTGAAAATAGGTATGTATATATTTCTTTCCTACACAGGTTAGTCAGAATAGCTGTTAGTAGGGGAGGGAGCATTTTTAAGAAGAGTTGGGTTTGTCTGGAATTCTACTTTCAGCCTCTCCAGGGTATTACCAAATGTGTTCAAATATTTATGTTTAATCCCTTTGTAAGTGCTAGTATACAGTTGCAAGAAAAAGTACGTGAACCCCTTGGGATTACATGGAGTTTTGCATGAATTGGGCATAAAAATGTGCTCTGAACGTCATCTAAGTCACAACAATAGAAGAAACACAGTCTGCTGAACATAATACTACACAAACATTAGATGTTGCCATGGTTTAATTGCACATAACATGTAAACATTCACAGTGCAGGGAGGAAAAAGTATGTGAGGCCCTAGCTTAATGACTTCTCCCAGAGCTAATTGGAGCCAGGAGTGAGCCAACCTTGACTCCAATCAGTGTGATGATATTGGATGTGTTGCTGACAGCTGTCCTGCCCTTAAAAACACACACCTGTTTTGGGTTTACTGGTTTCAAGAAGCACTGTCTGATGTGAACCATGCCTCGCAGAAAAGAGCTCTCAGAAGACCTACAATCAAGAATTGTTGACTTGCATGAAGCTGGAAAGGGTTACAAAAGTATCTCCAAAAGCCTTGATGTTCATGTGTCCACGGTAAGACAGACTGTCTACAAATGGAGAAAGTTTAGCACTGTTGCTACTCTCCCTAGGCTTGGTCGTCCTGTAAAAATGACTGCAAGAGCACAGTGCAGAATGCTGCATGAGGTAAAGAAGAATCCCAGAGTGTCAGCTAAAGACCTACAGAAATCTACAGGAAACGTTTGGTTGAGGTTATTGCTGCCAAAGGAGGGTCAACCAGTTATTAAGTCCAAAGGTTCACATACTTTTTCCTCCCTGCACTGTGAATGTTTACATGTTATGTGCAATTAAACCATGGCAGCATCTAATGTTTGTGTAGTATTATGTTCAGCAGACTGTGTTCTTCTATTGTTGTGACTTAGATGACGTTCAGAGCACATTTTATGCCCAATTCATGCAAAACTCCACGTAATCCCAAGGGGTTCACATACTTTTTCTTGCAACTGTATTGTGCCTCACAGGTTTAAATGATTTTAATAGAAAAAAATAATTTTTTTTTTATTAAATGTTAATGTGCAGCAGACTGCATGTGTTTTATGGCATTTTATGCCAGTAGTTTAATGGCGCGCCAATTTCACATTAATCATTTTAATAGACCTCACAGACTTGAAATGGTTACCAGAATTTTTCAGATTTTAACATTATATCAGCCCACATAAGATATATACCCAGAATACTTGCATATTGCAAATACACTAAGCAACTCATAGAATGGGCATATCTAAAAGAGACGTTATTTGTTGCAGTTCCTTTTCATATTCATGTATAATGTTTTAATATTATTAGTTTATATTTTTTATATCTCCTGCAGGAAGTTCCTACATGAGTGCTCTAGAGATTGGAGGTCTTGTAGGCAGCATCTTAGCAGGATTGCTATCTGACCGAGCAGTGGCAAAAGTAAGAACTTTGAGCATTGTTTGTATTTCTTTCAGAAATCATTAGGCTTTCTTAATTATTTTATTTCCTCCTCAAGTCTCAGTAATTTGCAATCCCTGGTTTCACTTCAGATCTAATCTTTAATTTGCTTGTTTGGATAGGTTTTAAGCTAGGTTCACACTTGCCTGCATGGCAGAATGCTTTTTGATCATGAAGATACCACCGTCCAACAGCTGGGTAGTTTGTGTGTCAGTATACAGTATGTATACTATAATCAAAGACGTAGAATATTTTTAAACCAGCTCGGACCGCGTTGCTCAATGAACCTGTAGACAATATCTTGAGATCCACACAGACCTATTTACTTTATGTTCCTGGCTGCCAAAATAGCTATTGCTACTGCTTGGAAATGACCCTGATTGGTTTGGCCTAAATGAAATGGAAACTAACTTGGATCATGCTACACGAAAAATTAGTCAGTGTGCTGTGGGATAAACAACCTCTGTTTGAAAAAATATGGCATCCCTGGTTATCCTACCTGCAGGTACCAGACACTTAAGGTTGTCTGATATTGAAGGCGTGGCGGATTTCCCGGATAGGTGTATACTTCCTCTTTTACTCTTCTCTTCCTCTTTCCTCCTCCACTTTCCTTCTCTTTTTTCCCCTCCTTTACATTTCCTGTTTTAATTATTTTGGTGCAAGTTTTGCCCTCCTTTTGGACCCTTACTCTGGGTTAAAGAATATAGTCTAGTCTGAATAGGTGATCCATCCCCCAGGGGGATATGAGGATGTTCCATTTAAACCGACTATAGTGTTACTATGTCCTTTCCCCCTTTTTTCCCTCGTCTCATTTTTTATGTTTTTTTTTTTATATGAATGTTGCATATTTATAAATCTTGCTTATGTAGACAATTCGCTTTCATACATACTTTGGTACTCCTGTACTGTTCTATTATTTCAAACGTAATAAAAAGATTGAAACAAAATATTGTAAACCATGCCAAATATTAACAAATAGGCAAATGGCCAAAAAAAAAACAACAAAAAAAAACAAACTGATTACCCTTAAAGCTAATCTCTGGGTAAATATTACGAAGTCCATTGAAGGGACACAAGACGTCCTTAAACTCCGGATTACAGTTGCAAGAAAAAGTACGTGAACCCCTTGGGATTACGTGGAGTTTTGCATGAATTGGGCATAAAATGTGCTCTGAACATCATCTAAGTCACAACAATAGAAGAACACAGTCTGCTGAACATACTACACAAACATTAGATGTTGCCATGGTTTAATTGCACATAACATGTAAACATTCACAGTGCAGGGAGGAAAAAGTATGTGAGGCCCTAGCTTAATGACTTCTCCCAGAGCTAATTGGAGCCAGGAGTGAGCCAACCTTGACTCCAATCAGTGTGATGATATTGGATGTGTTGCTGACAGCTGTCCTGCCCTTAAAAAACACACACACTGTTTTTGGGTTTACTGGTTTCAAGAAGCACTGTCTGATGTGAACCATGCCTCGCAGAAAAGAGCTCTCAGAAGACCTACAATCAAGAATTGTTGACTTGAATGAAGCTGGAAAGGGTTACAAAAGTATCTCCAAAAGCCTTGATGTTCATGCGTCCACGGTAAGACAGACTGTCTACAAATGGAGAAAGTTTAGCACTGTTGCTACTCTCCCTAGGCGTGGTCGTCCTGTAAAAATGACTGCAAGAGCACAGCGCAGAATGCTGCATGAGGTAAAGAAGAATCCCAGAGTGTCTGCTAAAGACCTACAGAAATCTCTGGCACATGCTAACATTTTTGTTGACACATCTACAATAAGGAAAACATTAAACAAGAATGGAGTACATGGGAGGACACCACGGGAGTACATGGGAGGACACCACGGAGGAAGCCATTGCTGTCCAAAAAGAATATTGCAGCACGTTTGAAGTTTGCAAAAGAGCACCTGGATGTTCAACAGCACTACTGGCAAAATATACTGTGGACAGATGAAACCAAGATTGGGTTGTTTGGGAAGAACACACAACACTGTGTGGAGAAAAAAAGGCACAGCACAGTACACCAATATCAAAACCTCATCCCCACTGTAAAACATGGTGGAGGGAGCATCATGGTTTGGGGCTGCTTTGCTGCCTCAGGGCCTGGACAGATTGTTGTCATTGATGGGAAAATGAATTCCAGAGTTTATCAAGACATTTTGCAGGAAAACGTATGACCATCTGTCCGCCAACTGAAGCTCCGCAGAGGATGGGTGTGATGCAACAGGACAATGACCCAAAGCATACAAGTAATTCAACAAAACAATGGCTGCAACAGCACAGAATACGCCTTCTGGAGTGGCCCAGTCAGAGTCCTGACCTCAACCCGATTGAAATGCTGTGGCATGACCTTAAGAGAGCGATTCACACCAGACATCCCAAGAATGTTGCTACACTGAAACAGTTTTGTGAAGACGAGTGGTCCAAAATTACTCCAGATCGTTGTGCAGGTCTGATCTGCAACTACAGGAAACGTTTGGTTGAGGTTATTGCTGCCAAAGGAGGGTCAACCAGTTATTAAGTCCAAAGGTTCACATACTTTTTTTCTCCCTGCACTGTGAATGTTTACATGTTATGTGCAATTAAACCATGGCAACATCTAATGTTTGTGTAGTATTATGTTCAGCAGACTGTGTTCTTCTATTGTTGTGACTTAGATGACGTTTAGAGCACATTTTATGCCCAATTCATGCAAAACTCCACGTAATCCCAAGGGGTTCACATACTTTTTCTTGCAACTGTATACTTGCACTTACAAAAGGATTAGACATTGGCAAACCGAAAAAAATGTATTCCAGCCCAGGATAACCGCTCCTACTACCAGAAAACCTCAGTTTTGTAGCAAAGAAGTACCAAGAGCAAGATAATAAACAAAGGGACACAAGGGATCTATGTCCTTTAATGAACTCCAAGTAAAGGATTTTATGGTTAGTACCTATTTTATTTTTCATCCAATACAAGGACATCTTTGATCTTTGAGATGTCCAAAAGCAGTCCAAACAAGCGCTAACAATCCCAAGAAAAAAAACAGAGAACTGAGGACTGACTGTAGCCACCTGAATGACCTTATGTTCGAAGCTAATGTCAAATGAGGCTGCAATGTTAGTCTGCTAGAACTTAGAGAAACTGTGAAAAGATGATTAGGTGGAAGCCTTGCTAATATGGGAAACAGTTGCTTGATCCCAAAAAGCACTCATAGATCTAATAAGAGTGCATCTTGACAAGAAAGGTTGGAACCTGATCCTTAAGACCATAGCTTGGAAATTTCACAGAACCTTAAAGAATATGGCTGCCTGTTCAGACACTCGCATTGCAGAGGAATACTATCTTGCGGGTGACTGTAGAGAGAGAGGAATGTCTCTAATGGGTTCGAACAGCAGTTCCTGAAGTGCTGAGAGAAACCAGATTCAGATCCCACAGAGTCACAGGGGAACCAATGGGGAGCTACATCAGAGGACCTCCCTGTACAAAGGTCTTAATGAAGGAGTGAAAGGTTAATGGTCTCTGAAAGAGAGAGTAGAAACCTGGCTGTTGATACTGTTTAGATCCAAATGCTGGTCCAGGCCAAGCTGTAGGAAGTAGGATTCATATCACAGAGAAACTACTTCGATGAAAGCTCCAAACTCTCACACAAAGTTATGCATGCCTTCCATATCCAATCATAGATCTTGCGAGTAGTAGGCTTCCCTAGCTTTTAATATCAGGGATGCCCCTGGCTCTCAAAGCATGGGCTTCAACAGCTATGCCTTTAAAGCCAGTGACCATGAATCAGGATGGGTAAGTGATCCTTGAGACAAAAGAATGTGACAATCTAGGTAACCCACAGAGTGTGAACCGGTGGAGGTGATTTTTACTAGATTGACATAACCTATCCACCTGGTCTGGTTCAGAGCAATGATCTCCATTTTAATCCTGCAAAGCAGAGGAGTAATTAGGTTCAGGGAAGGAAAGGCCTAGACCAGTGGTTCTCAACCTAATGTTGTGGTGACCCCCAACCATAAAATTATTTTCGTTGCTACTTCATAACTGTAATTTTGCAGTAGAGGAATAGTGCCCCATCATTGGTGTCATTGGGAGGAATAGTGCCCCATCATTGGTATCAGTGGGAGGAATAGTGCCCCGTCATTGGGAGGAAATAGTGCCCCATCATTGGTGTCAGTGGAGGAATAGTGCCCCATCATTGGTGTCAGTGGGAGGAATAGTGCCCCATCATTGGTGTCAGTGGGGGGAGGAATAGTGCCCCATCATTGGTGTCAGTGGGGGGAGGAATAGTGCCCCATCATGGGTGGTGTCAGTGGGGGGAGGAATAGTGCCCCATCATTGGTATCAGTGGGGGGAGGAATAGTGCCCCAATTGGTGTCAGTGGGGGGAGGAATAGTGCCCCATCACAGTGGGAGGAGGAATAGTGCCCATCATTGGTGTCAGTGGGGGGAATAGTGCCCCACAGGTGTCAGTGGGAGGAATAGTGCCCCAACATTGGTATCAGTGGGAGGAATGTGAGGTGAAAGTGTCCCATATAGGTGTCAGTAGATAGTGCCCATCATAGGTGTCAGTGGGGGAAATAGTGCCCCATCATATGTCCCTTGGTGTCAGTGGGGGGAGGAATAGTGCCCCATCCTTGGTGTCAGTGGGGGGGAAATCGTGCCCCATCCTTGGTGTCAGTGGGGGAGGAATCGTGCCCCATCGTTGGTGTCATTTGGGGGAGGAATAGTACCCATCGTTGGTGTCATTTGGGGGAGGAATAGTACCCCATCATTGGTGTCTGGGAGGAATAGTACCCCATCATTGGTGTCAGTGGGAGGAATAGTGTCCCATCGTTGGTGTCAGTGGGAGGAATAGTGCCCCATCATTGGAGTCAAGGATGTGCCCCTAGGTGTCACCCCATCAATCAGTGGGGGGGAATAGTGCCCCATCCTTGAATCCTTGGTGTCAGTGGGGGGAGGAATCAGCCCCATCCTTGGTGTCAGTGGGGGAGGATGGTGCCCCATCATTGGTGTCAGTGGGAGGAATAGTACCCCATCATTGTGTCAGTGGGAGGAATAGGTGTCCCATCGTTGGTGTCAGTCTGGAGGAATAGTGCCCCATCATTGGTATTAGTGACACCCAATGATGGGGCACTAACTGACACCAATGATACTTAATACCCTGCTCCAGTGGTACCGTTACCAGATGTCTGGCCGCTCTCCTCCTCTTCACTCACTCGATCTTCGCGGTGCCGCTCGGCTCCTCCTCTCCAAGCTCCAGCCGGTGATTGGCCGCCTGTGTGCCTCTCCTGAGCTACAGTGCCGGCGGCCAATCACAGGCGAGGATTGATCTCGAGGTGTGTCCAGATGACAGGGGCGGCATGTCATCCCGCCCACACCTGGAGACGGCGGCGGCGAGGAGCGGTGTCTCTGTTCCTAAGACCATCGGAAATATGTGTTTTCCGATGTCTTAGGCGAAAGCGTCGTTCGACCTACCCCCAGGTTGAGAAGCTGGCCTAGACCAAAGTGTACTAATCCCATAAAGCTGTCAGAGCATCCACTGCCTCTGCTAGAGGATCTCTTTACTTGGATACAAACCTGTCTAGTTAATTGCTTTGAACTTGGAGTCTGAAACCTGGAACTCCCACCTGTGACACAAGTCCTGGAACATCTCCAGTGTATGTAACACTCCCCCAGGTCCAGGTGCTGTCGCCTGAGGAAGTCTGCCTAAAGGTTGTCTATACCTATTGTCCACACAGACAGGTGCATTCTCCACCAGTAAGTTAGTTGCTTTGTTAAGATGGGACACAGCAGTAACCGCAATAGGAATAGACCACTTTTGTACAAAATCCTCCCTAAATGGATACAGGGATATTAAAATTCTTGAGAGAAGAAAATCGTGTGTCAGGGTGTTACCAGCCTCTGTAGAGAGAGTTAGAAAAGCATGTGCAATAGTAAGTCTTTGAAACTCGAGGATCAGCCTGTTGGTTCTACTAAGGTCGCAGAGTGATGTGCACCATAATGATGGGAACCGGAATGGTCTCATTCAGTGTGGGAGTAATAGCTGTGGATTGCAACTCCTCGGGGGCAAGATAATCAGTCAAAGACTTGAACGACTTAGAATCAGAGTCTTAGTGGCTGATGGTTCATAAATTTCCAAAACTGCGGATAAATTGGATAATATATGGGAAAAGACTGAAGAGAGTACTTGTCACGGTCTACAGTCAAGAGTCAGCAAATAACTAGGTAATTTGGGCTAGAACGTCTTGCATGACTATAGGAAAAAAACTGGAGTGTGCAGAAAGAAGTGGTTATACCTTAAAGTGTTACTAAACCCAGGACCCTGCATTCACTTTATCTGGTTTCCCACAGTACACAGATCATGGAAATGCAATTATTTTAGTTAATATAAACTGCTAAATACTTTTTCTCATCAGCAGTTAGAGCAGGCTTGTGACTTTTATCAGTGTCCAGCCGAGCACCAGTTGAAGGTTGTAGGAGGAGTTTTCATTCTCCCCTGATTGTCCTATGAGGCTGCATAACCTTTGACCCTCTGGACAGCGGTGATTGTGCTGACCACATGCACTCTCCCAAGAAAGAAAAAAACTTTAGCAATACACACCAAGCAGAGCATGTGCAGCTTGCCCCCATGGCTGCTGCAGTTCTATCAGCAGATGGATTGTGGACAGTAGAAGGGGAGGATCTGAGAAGACAGGATCAAACATCCTTTTTACACAATGTGGATAATTGACTGCTTGGGTTCCACAGTGAGTATAACAAGCTAACTTTAACCAATGTGGAGTTTGGAAAGTGCAGAAATGAGTGCCGATGATTGAGTACCTGATGGTCCGACAACACCTGCAGTATCCAAACTTGATAGATCTGAGCACGGCAGTTCAATATCCAGGCTGAGGATGGTCACACTGGATAGCTGCAGTCACACTTTGTAGAGAAGAATATTGATTGAAGAAAACACATTGAAGAGTAAGAAAAAAAGTACTACCAAAAAAAGGTTAGTCTTTCATGCAGCAAGGCTGAAGAGAAGATGTCCATCCTTCTAGGACACTAGCAAATAAAACTGAGGCATGCTGGTAGTGGGAAGGGTTAGCTTGGGCTAGCTTACAGTTTGTCGTTTGCTATTGTTCAATCTTCCTTTAGGGGGGAGTATAACCTGACTTCCTGTGTTCCCAAAAATAATTAGAATTTGTACACCTCTACAGCCTTGGATTCAGGTTAAGATGTAAGAGAACTCAGCAGGGAATCTTTTATTCTTATTTTTCTCATTTAGAAAAAGCTTCACTATCTGTGATTTGTCATGTATTATTATGTCTTGAAGAGGGTAAAGGAGGTGAGTTGGGGTAAACCCTGGCTGATTTCATACTGTAGACCAGGGGTAGGCAACCTTAAAGAAGGGGAGATCTACTTGAACAACATGGGTGAAGTCAAAGATCACCGGGCACAGTGTCATCTCCACACACCTGATTTAAACCTCTAATTGCTGTACTACCATGTTGCAACATATTGCCTCCCCACCACCTGTCAAACACACTCAGATCACTTATTAGAGGAGCAGCAGTGCCTGCTGCACTTGTGAATGAGCCCTTAGTTGCATTTGGCAGGAGCACCCTTAGGACTCATTCACATGTGAAATTGGAGGCTGGTAAAACCCTGCAGTTAAAACACTTGGCAAATGTATTGCCTATTTGGTTAGGTAGTATAGGTGTTCATAGGTAAATTTAGTTGTTTTTTGGGGTTCCTACATTCAGGAGTTTTGGTGTGCTTTCAGAAAGTGTACCAAACCTGTAGGATATAATAGAAGTCTTTAACTAAGCAAAGCAAACCTGCAGGTACACTGCACCCACAATGTGGGTAAACTGCAGCTCATCCTTGTGAAAGCAGCCCTATACTATTATGCCCAGTGTATTGCTTCATACTGACCTGAAGATCTCTTCTTTCCTTCTGCTGGCACCACTCTGGGGGACTGGTAGCCGGGATAAAAGGTGGAGTGCAGTTGATATCACTGCATGGGACAGGAGCCAGCACTACATGACTTGATGTATGGCATTGCTGTTTTAATATTCTTTCTTTTTTTCATTAATTGCTCTTTTATAGGTAGGGTTAAAGAGCCATGGTAATCCGCGTCATGGTTTACTTTTGTCTATGATGGCTGGAATAGTGGGCTCCATGTTTCTGTTCCGTATTACAGTGACTCCTGGATCACCCAAGGTAACAATATGCAATGTTCAGTGCTCAAACATCCAGCAATGAAGTTCTGTTAAATATGGAGTTACTGCATGCTGCGCCTTATTTCTAGTTGGCCAGCCTGGGATGCTTTTCATTCTTTGTGATCAACTGCCTTTCTTAAAATTTCAGTTTTTTTCTGTTCTTCCTTCTTCCCTGCTGTCCTTTCACTCAGGTTGATGGGATCTTATCTATCGCTCTCGAGCCACTTGCTGAGATGTCGGGTCTGAATGAACAAGAGGTTTACATCCTTTCTATATTTTGTCCTGTCCATCCTTTGTTTTATCTCATTCCTTTCTGGTTGTTTGTTTGCCATTTTACTTGTTCATAGAGCTTGTGTACTGTAGCATAATAGTAGCATTTTCAAGCACATTACAGCAGTGTGTGTGTGTGTGTGTGTGTGTTAGTTAACATGATCTCTTGTTATAGGTTGTGATACCGAGTGTACAAGAATAGACAGTGGAAAGACGACAGCTGGAACTGAAATTCTGTTGCTGACATCTTCATGTTCCTTTTCTTAAAATTATAGAAATCACCTGTTAAGTGTGTTATACGTGGCCTCTTTCTATAATATGTGGGCCAAAGGCAAACATTTTATGGATGGGGTCTTGCACGTGCCGTCATTCCAGTGTCTGTATATCTTGTTTAATCTTTGGCCAGTATTGGGGTGGGAATTCATGTACATACCATTCAGGTAACCAGAGATGTCGGAATGCATCTCCTTCCCCATTGCCTGTGAAGAGCCAGCTGTCATTGACACAATTTTCCAGCACTGTTTTGTGCCTTTATAGCAGCATCTAGACACAAACTGATAGTGATGGGAATATTCAGACAGCCTAAGAAGATACTTGCTGCACCTTGAGGCCCACAGTCAGTGATGGCTGGTCTCCTCAGACACATGTGTATGGTGGGGGAAGACCAAAGACATTGGCCCATGTTTGGTTAGATGGATCTACCCAACTCACACCTGATAGATTTTCATTTAGACCCTGAAAAGACTTTGCAAACAGGGCTTGATTTAGTCATAGGATACACAGACCATGATATAAGGCAAGCTGCCAGTGGTAGCTCCAGCAATAATTTATCATGCTGCTGATGTCACCTGGTGACATCATATTGGCAATTTCGCTATCTACACTGTGTCCTCTCTTCATCTGTACAAAACTGGAATATGTCTGTTTGCTTAGTAAGGGTGAAGGGGGCCATTGGTGCAGAGTGTACAGCTGCACAAGGGCCCTTCTAGATTTGAGAGCCCATTCGCATTTCATGTAGTCAAGCTATTGATACACAGTGAATCAATGTTTGTATCTGGGTAGTAAATTATTGTGGAGGGCCAGAAAAAAATGTTCTTGCATGGATCCCTTTGTTGGCTAAGCTTGCAGCTTCCTACTAGATTTTTTCCGGGTGCTGCCCCCACCTTGCTTCACTAGTTGTCAGGTTGTAAAGATGCCTAAAAATTTCCAAGTGTGGTCAGACATTCATGCCGGAGATGAGAGCTGAGCTGTACTAGAGTGGTGCATAACCGTACAAGCTCCACATGTCTGTATACGGAGGGGAAGGGCTCAGAACATATAGAAGCAGTCATATATCATGAGAAGAACATTAATGTTTGGGTGCAGGATTTCTAACCAACCTAGTCAATTGTTCCTCCCATAGACATACGATTGTCACCTAATGAATCCAAAACAATCAGATCAGGTGACTGTCCTCTCGAGTCTGTGGGTAAGGCCTCGTTCACACCCATGGTGCAGAGACATGAGCTTTTCTGCATGTGTCCTGCAGGGCCACAAAGAAAACAATTGTTCTCTATGTACCCTAGTCACACCACATTAGTATCACATTTTTTTTTCTGCGCAGTAATCTGCAACATATATAAAACTCACTGAAACGTGCATGAAAACTGCTGTAAGCTTGTGTTTCTGCAAGTGAAATCTGCACGGTTTCCCCATCAGTTTATATGCATGTATGGAGTGAACGAGGCCTAAGTGTTGTACGTGTGCAGGAAATTGTGGGGTTGGGCCGGACGCACAGCTTCTCTAATGTACTGGTTGAGTAAATTAGAGTGAGAGGAGAGAACAGTCAAGATTCATGTGGTTATTATAAATCTAACCACGAAGACCATGACTTAAACATTTTTAGAGTGGGTGTTATTAAATCTTGCAATAAGCTTCTGGTGCACCATAATGCCCATCATTCACTGTTTAACCTCTGCAAAATCGATAGTTGGTTGTTTCCATGCTTTAGCCAATATTTGCCTGGCAGTGAGAAACTTAAACTCCTAAGTTTCATTTGCATTTGGAAAGGCCTGACACTAGTCAATGCAGCAGTTCTTCCGTTCTGTTTTAAGTCGGTGTTCAGGACTGATGTGAGCATGTTGTTCATGCAAATCCAAAATTGGGTAACCTTGGGGCATTGAGAGCAGATATATAGTAAGGTGCCACATTCCCTACAACCTTGAAAGTAGACCAGGGTGGAGAGGCTGATGTTTAATAAAATAGAATATAAAGGGCAAGCATACTCATGATGACTTTAGTAATTCAGACCTGCAGTTCAGCAAACTTTAGTCTGGAGAAACATATCTCTATTTACTTCTGAGAGCTGCAGAACTGTTTTTATCATGTGGGAAGGTGAAAATCTTTTCTAGAATGTCTGCTTCCTAGATCTGGGTGAAATAGTTTTCCCAGGTATCACTATCAAGGTCATGGAAGAGCAGCAGGCATCACCTGGCACAATATGGTGCCTTGTATGCACTGCACTGGACACACACACACACACCACACACACACACACACACACACACATAGGTAAAGTTGATCCAGGGAATATCCGATTGCCTCTCGGGGGATCAGGAAGGACATTTTTTCCCAGCAGGAGCAAATTGGATCATGCTTTGCTGGGTTTTTTTTTTGCCTTCCTCTGGATCAACTGTGGGTATAGGATTATAACTTTTTTTTTTTTTTTTTCCGTATGGTTGAACTGGATGGACTTTTGTCTTTTTTTCCTCCAGACTAACTATGTAATATATATATATTCTAATATATTATTATTATACAGGATTTATATAGTGCCAACAGTTTGCTCAGCGCTTTACAATATAACGGGAGACAATACAGTTCAATACAAGAGGGATAGGAGCTTACAATCTAGGAGGAAGGGGCTAGTGGTACAAAAGGCAGTAACTATGGGGGATGGACTGGTTGGAAGAGTAGAAGATTCCAGTATTAGCTGAGGGCAGAATAGGCTTCCCTGAAGCGATAGGTTTTCAGAAATCGTCTAAAAGTGAGCAGAGTGGGCGATAGTCTGATAAATTGAGGTATAGAGTTCCAGAGGATGGGGGAAGCTCTGGAGAAGTCCTGGAGACAAGCATGGGTGGAGGAGACAAGGGAGCTAGAGAGTGGGAGGTCTTGCGAGGAGCTGAGAGTACGGTTTGGGTGATAATTAGAGACAAGATCATTGATGTAATTTGGGGCAGAGTTATAAATGGCTTTATACGTTATTCTTAATGTTTTGAATTTTATCCGTTGGGCAACAGGAAGCCAGTGGAGGGATTGGCAGAGAGGGATGGCAGATACAGAACGGTTAGTAAGGTGGATGATTCTGGCAGCAGCATTCATGATAGACTGGAGAGGGGATAGCCTGCGATGAGGTAGGCCAATGAGGAAGGAGTTACAATAATCAAGGCGAGATATAACAAGGGAGTGAATAAGTTGCTTAGTGGTTTCCGAGGTTAGGAACGGGCATATCTTGGCGATGTTGCGGAGGTGAAGTCTTCAAGGTTTGGGCAGTGATTGAATTTGGGGCTGAAAGGACAGATGGGAGTCTAGGACTACACCTAGTACCTTGGCATGAGGGGAGGGACTGATGATTGTGTTATTGATCTTGATGGAGAAGTCAGGGGAGGGGGAACGGGCTGGAGGGAATACTAAGAGCTCAGTTTTGGAAAGATTGAGTTTGAGGAATTGGAATGACATCCATGCCGATATGTCACTTAGTAGGTTAGTGATGCAAGAGGAGACTGAAGGGGTGAGGTAAGGGGTAGAAAGATAGATTTGTGTGTCATCAGCATAGAGATGGTACTTAAAGCCATGGGAGTTTATCAACTGACCAAGGGAGGAGGTGTAGATGGAGAAGAGAAGGGGTCCAAAGACAGAACCTTGAGGGACCCCTACGGAATGAAGGAGTGAAGAGGAGGAGGCAGCGTTATAGGTAACACTGAAGGAGCGCTGTGATAGGTAGGAGCAGAGTCTCTGAGGCCAAGAGAGTGGAGTTTTTTGAGGAGGGGATGGTCAACCGTATCAAATGCCGCAGAGAAGTCAACTAGTAAGAGTACGGAGTAGTGCCCATTGGTTTTAGCAGTTAGTAGATCATTAGTGAGTTTTAGTAGGGCAGTTTCAGTGGAGTGTAGTGAGCGAAAGCCAGACTGTAGAGGGTCAAGAAGGTTGTTGTCAGTGAGGTGGGAGCTCAGGCGATTGTAGACTAAGCGTTCTAGGAGTTTAGAGGTAAATAGCAGCAGGGAGATGGGTCTTAAGTTGTTCTGGTTGGTGGGGTCCAGGGAGGGCTTTTTAAATATGGGAGTGATGTGCGCATGCTTTAGAGGGGAGGGGAAGGCACCAGTAGAGAGGGAGAGATTGAAGATGTGAGTAAGGGAGCATAGGATGGAAGAAGAGGGTGACCATAGTAGTTGTGAGGGGACAGGATCCAGGGGGCAGGTAGTGAGACGGGCTTCTGAGAAAACCTTAGTTACCTCTTCGGTAGTGGCAAGGTCAAAAGAGGAAAGTGTTGAGGGAGGTTTACTGTAAGGTATGCTAAGTGGGATGGATGTCTGCAGTGGCGATGCCCCTACGAATTGCATCAATCTTGTTTTTTAAATGATTTGCAATCTTGTGAGCAGTGAGTGAGGTACTGGGTGGGGGGTGGAGGTGCAGAAAGTAGAGAGTTAAAAGTAGAGAAGAGACGACGAGGACTGGATGACAAGGTATTAATAAGAGTGACAAAGTAGGCTTGTTTGGCAGCATGAAGGGAGGACTTGTATGTTAAGAGAGCAGATTTATATAGGGTGAATGCTTGTTGAGATTTGGTTTTACGCCACAATCGCTCCGGCGCACGACTATGTCGTTTAAGATTTCTGGTGTCGTCAGTCTGCCAAGGTTGTAATGGTCAGGGCCTGATGCTTCGTGTTGTTAGAGGAGCAAGTGAGTCTAATGTGGATGAAAGCGAGCTGTTGTAGACAGCAGTGGCCAGGTCAGGGCAAGACACGATTCTACGATTCTGTCGTAGAGTTGGTCAATTGCAGAGTGGAAAGGAGCAGAGTTCAAGTTGTGAAGATTTCTGTGGGTAATTGTTTGCCGCTTGGAGGGATAGGTGTTTAAAGACGAGGACACTGTGAAGGTGATGAGATTGTGATCAGAGAGAGGAAAGGGGGTGTTTGTGAGGTTGTAGGGAGTGCAAAGATGGTAGAAAACAAGGTCTAATGTATTCCCATCAGAGTGAGTGGAGGACTGTATACACTGTGCTAATGCAAAAGATGAGGTTAGGTTGAAGAGTTGGGATGTAGCTGGGTTGTTGACATTAATAGGGATGTTAAAATCTCCGAGAATGATAGTGGGTAGTTCAGAGGAGAGAAAGTAGGGTAGCCAGGCGGAGAAATCATCAAGAAAGCGGGACACCGGTCCAGGAGGCTGATAGATCACTGCAATCCTCAAAGAAATGGGAAAAAAAACAGCCGGATTGTGTGTCTCGAAAGAAGAGAGAGGATAGAGAGGGAGGGTTATGGAGGACTTGAAAGGTGCTGAGTGGGGATAGAAGCAAACCAACCCCACCACCTTTCCGACCACTGGGCCTGGGTGAGTGGGTCCAGAGGAGGCCTCCATAGGAAAGTGCTGCGGGAGAAGCAGAATCTGCTTCTTGAAGCCAGGTTTCTGTAAGTGTGTGTGTGTGTGTGTATATAAAAATATATATATTATTTTTTTTCCAGAGATTTTTTAAGACCATGATAAATAAAGCTCATTTCAAAATGTTTGTTATAAAATTAGCTTGACTCTCTGTCTCTGATTCTCAAGTTGGCACTGAGAAATTACTTCTAGAATATTTTTTAATGAGCAACATACATAGGCTGCAATTGAAGTAGTTACAAAACCTTTCTGGCATTACAACCTCAGTTGTATGTGATGTTACAAATTCATGTAACATTTTACACCATTTTCATTTCACAGACTGTTATGATGTGTGCAACTTATTCATAAAGTTTTTACTTACCACACTGTAGTATTATGGTACCACCAATACAATACAACCGCCGTTCCCCGTCATTAATTTCTGGGATGTTGGCGGCCCTTTTCACAATGCAAGGGTAGATTTGTCTAGTTCCCGGAGTTCAGTTTCAGGTATGTCTTATAAAGCTTATGCTTTATTGAACATACTGTATGCAAATCTGTATGGGTCCTATATATAAAAAAACAAGTATGTCACCAGCACACCAAGGATCTCCAGAATGGGTCCAAAGTCTTATTCAGTGGTCACATGCCTGATGAAGCGGTCCTGTGAGGCTCCAAAATGCCGCTTTTGTAACTATGATGTGATGCTTTGAATAAAGCTTTGGACCCATTCTGGAGATCCTTGTGCGTTTGGTAACAAACTTCTTGCTTTGAATGTCTTTGGTTTCCAGCAGCTAGTCACTGCAGCACCCACTTGTTTACAACCATTTACATCCACTTTCAGGAACGTGTGCATTGGGAATATTGTGTTAGCGCTATACATTAAAAAGTGACATGAATTCCCTTTGTAACCTTTTCACTAGCTGTTTTTCTGCTATATAATAAACATGTGAAACTAGAGTAGTGTGTGAACAGAATTCTAGAACAATGGTCCTTTTAAGTATGTAGTCTAATTTTGTTTATAAACTACAGCTGCAGTGTTCTGCGTGAGCCTTTGGATACCCCCTAAACATTAGGTTCCTATGATCTGGTGCCTGCAAATCTGATTAATATGAAGGGTGGCTGTATATAGGAAAACTTACCACCATTACCACTATAAGAAGCAAGGCTAGTCAAGTTCCAAGTTTTTAGTCCAAAATGAATGTTACCTCCTGTTCATACTGTAAAATATAAGCATGCATATGTGTATTGGTGTCAGGTGTACTTCGTGATCCCAATATTTCCTAATCACCAGTCACTGTCTCCTGTCTCTGTCCAGCATAAGGGTGATGAATTGGTCTTTACTTGAGTGTTGAGCTGAAGCAAATTATTTTTATTTATACTATTTTTCCAGGTATGGATTCTCTTCCTAGGAGCCGTATTTGGCTTTTGCTCATATGGACCTATTGCTCTCTTTGGAGTTATTGCCAATGAAAGTGCTCCCTCTAACTTCTGTGGCACTTCACATGCAATTGTGGCTCTTTCTGCTAACGGTAAGTTGAAAATTGTTTTCACAGTATGATGTGTTACCTATTATTAAATAGCTTTGTTAAGGCCCAAAACAATGTGTATTCTAAATAATTAGCTGTGGAATAATTATTCAGGATATGACCGTATATATTTAGGTGTTCGTTTTTGTGCTGTCTCTGTCACTTGATTATATGTACAGAATAAATAGTTCTCTCACAGAAAAGTTGCTGAAAACTTTCCTATTGACATATGTCCGTGAAGGTTCTCATTTATCCAGGTCATGGTATAGCAATTGGTAATTAGTAACACTTAACTGATCTTCTGATATGACAGCCTGAGGCCACACTCTATCAATGTTTACCATTATCCTAATATTCAAAATCCTGGCTTCAGCTCAGTGCCCTCCTGCTGGCCCAGCCCCTCTGATGTGTTTCAGCCAGTTTGGGCTTCACTGTAGCTTTTTTTCTGTAATGTTGTAGTCATTACAGCTTTTCCAACATACTACTTTAGTTCTAATGAGTGTCAGGAACATACACCAGCATGTATATCCATACAGGTAACCCAGTTATCCTAATCCAATCACTATGAAATGTGTCAAGGTAGATGCTGGTTGTCTAATAACAGGATGGGAGTTGTGAACGTTGTGGAAACACTCTATTCTAACTGCATAGCTCCATCTCTTGTATACTGAGGCTACATACAGTATATACAATGTACCCAAAAGACACACCTAGTAGTGTAGGTTTGTTACAATAGATACAGTTGTGTTCAAAATAATAGCAGTCAGACATCACTAACCTGATCAATCACTGTTTTTGGTAGAAATTATATTTCTACATGGCAAATAATTTACTAGCAGGTGTAGTAGAGTAATAGATATCCAACAGACCCAACAGTCATGACATGCATGCTGCTGATTCTGTGTAAATGAATCACTAATTGAAAGGGGCATGTTCAAAATAATAGCAGTGTGGAGTTCTATTAATGAGGTCATTCATTCTTTGAAAACAGGTGGCAATTATTGCCCTTATTTAAGGAAGGAAGGCAGCAAATGTTGTACATGCTGGTTATAGTGCATTTCTCTCTGAAATTCTGAGGAAAATGGGTCGTTCCAGACATTGTTCAGAAGAACAGCATACCTTGATTAAAAAGTTGATTGGAGAGGGGAAAACATATAAAGAAGTGCAGAAAATGATAGGCTGCTCAGCTAAAATGATCGCAAATGCTTTAAAATGGCAACCAAAACCTGAAAGACGTGGAAGAAAGCGAAAAACTACCTGTGAGTACTGTTGCAATTAGAAGACACCTATGTGAAGCCAAGCTATCTGCAAGAAGCCCCCGCAAAGTCCCACTGTTGAAAAAAAGACATGTGCTGAAGAGGTTACAATTTGCCAAAAAGCACATTGACTGGCCTAAAGAGAAATGGGGCAACATTTTGTGGACTGATGAAAGTAAGATTGTTCTTTTTAGGTCTAGTTGCCGGAGATAGTTTATCAGACTGGTTCTTCTATTTGGAAGTTTGGGAAGATGAATGGAAGAGACCATTCCATGTCCAAATAAAAAAATTCAACATCACCTTCCGTAGAAGGTCTAGGGACAGCCTTAAGACCACTTTTTCTTGGTACTTTAAACAAAAGAGATTTCATATGGCTCAGTGCCTAAAGTTCAGAGATCCTTGTGGTCAAGGTCACAGCAATCAGAAAAACACTCTTCAAGGTGAGGTACTATAACAAAGACTCGATTAATGGTGACCTCTGAAAACGTTGAGGACCAAAGGAATGTCCCACTTTGGAAAGTTTGGTTTCTTGAGTGGCCCAATTTTCAATTGTGCTTTAAGGAACTAGATCACTAAAGATTCCATTGTCGACCTCCTTCCTGTACAATACAGATGAGTGCTGAAATTTAAACTTTGTTGGTGGTGTTTGATTAGACCCAAGGCTACTTTTCTTTGAAAAAAAACTGCATTCACGATTTTGGTATAACCGCTTCCACCCAAGTAGATTCAGGTATGTCCTAAGGGCTGAAAGTGGCTATAGGATATGTTCACCTCTACGGAAAATATAATAAATGCACATATTTTTGCAGACAAAATGTGCATTTATTTTTGCTTCCAAGCAATGCTTGGAAGCATTGCACCCGTGATCAGTAGATCATGGGTGCAATGTGGGATCCTGCAGACATGTACTTAACCTTTTAGCCTGTACAGAGGTGTGGGCTTTTTGTTTGTAAGCTAGAGGATTGAGTGCTCATCAGCACCCCCGCAGCCCATTGAAACTACAAGTCTGTGCCACAGTGGTAGGTGACACTTGAAGTTTTTTCATTCACAGGAAAAAGGAAACTGTGAATGAATGAAACAACATGCGGAATGTGCACAGCTGGGTTTTTTTTTTTTTTTTTTTCTGTAAAGTTACAGTGGGTGTGGGGAGAAGAACCCCTGTCTGCTGTCATGGGGAGAGGGGGCAGGAGACAAAACATGTTACATGTTCCACCCTAAATACGGATGGAACATGTAACATGTTCCGAAGGCAAACTTATCCTTTAAGCTCAAATATAAAATATACTAAAAAATGTTCTAAATGTCTGCATTTTTGTGCGCTTGTTCTGTCCTTTACAAAACTGTATGTAGTCTACATTATTAAAATAGATCATGAGAATCAAAGTTTAACAATAAGTAACATAAAAAATGACATGTTTTAAAAAGGGCGCTTGCTCTGCTGTCAACTATTTAAAGGGCATTTTCCTTAGTTTGGATAATTTTGCTGTCACTATTTGTTGTTTATCGTGGACAAAAAGTAAAGGGAGATCTCCCCACTAGGACACAGAAACCCTGTAATTTTTTTGCCATCTAACCATTCTCTACTCTCTCCAAAATAGATCAGTCAGTTATTTTGCAGTGATACTCTGTGTAAGTTTAAACTGTTTTGCAGCTAAATCTGTTTAGAACTCAATCACATTAGAAAGTATGTATTATAAAAACAGCTTCAATAAACATACTGTGCTTATCAGGTATATTATATTTAAGTGTATGCAACTCTTGTGTTCTCATGAGGAAATTTCCTCACTTTTTCTTTGACAGTGGGTTACAAACTGCAGTTAAAAATCTAATAGTGCTTCTGATTTTATTTTTTGTATTAATGATATCAATCCAGTTGTAAGGTGTCTTATATTTGCACTCTATTTTCTTGCAGTTGGAGGATTTCTTGCAGGATTACCCTTCAGCACTGTTGCCAAATATTATGGATGGGACACAGCATTCTGGGTAGCTGAGATGATCTGTTTGGCAGTCACAATAGTCTTCTTTCTTCTGAGGAACATCCAGACTAAAATGGGACGTCTGCCCAAGAAGTCAGACTGAAATGAAATTCAAAATCCTTCCACTGAAGAAAACGAAAGTCGGAAGGAAAGTGAAGGGATGGATTTTAAATTATCAACTCTTTTCACCTCGAAGTACTGCATAGTTCTGATTGGATGCTGCAAGCAAGTCATGTGGCCTTTCCCCATTAAAGCACAGAAGTGTCCAGACTGCAGGACATGAAGGAAATGGGGGATAGAACACATTTCACGTAGCCAATGTGAAATCTATTAGTCTTCCTGCATTTCATGAAGGAAATTTCATTTTACCTTTACTGTGATGTGTCACAGACTTTTAACTGGAATTCATTCTACTGCACCTATCATACACAAAACTAAGAATAATGGTGTTATTAAAATAAAAAACTGGAATAAATCCTTTGTAACTGGGTTGAACTTGAATACAACGTCTCAGGATGTCTGCAGTTTTATTCCTACTCTTCTCATGCTTAGGCTTGCCATAGCTGGATAGAATTTTTTATGAAAAGTCTTAAGAAAATTTGTACGAAAATTCTCAGAACATCTGAATGTCATTTAAAAGATTGTTTTATTTTGGAACGAATGGACTTTACTAAATGTGTAAAAAAAAAAAAAAAAAAAAAAAGGAATTGCTCACTGTGGTCAAAAAATGAACATTGATTGGTGACACGACACAAATGATTAGAAAAACACTTTCTTAAAACTTTTATTTCCTAAAAAATTTAATTTGCAATTCTACCCATCTATCGCCAGCTTTAGTGTGATGGAAAGGCATTGTTCTACATAGGCTGTCAGGACTGTTTTAATTTACCATGGCAAGTTCAGAACAGTGGTATTACTTATTTGATCTTTTTTTTTTTTTTTTTCAGGCAGGGCTTATTTTTGTTTGGTTTCCTTTCAAAATTGTGTGTATTTTGCTTCCTGGTGGTGACAGCTTTCCGTATACTTGACTACCTCTAATCCATGTGTCCAAGAAACGTATGGCTACCTCCAGCTTCTGTGACGGGGGTTGGGGGGGTTGCTACAGCAAGCACAGATAATCATAAGGGAATGCTGTTATGATATATTATGCTGTGTGGATGTAAAATCTGACACTGGAGGCACATGCAGTAAGGCCTAGGTGTTCAGAGCAGTGTTACTTTGCAGCCAGATCATGAATAATGTTACAGGAGAAGCTGTGTGTTGATCGGATTGTTGAATAGAACCCAAGCACTAGTGCAAGCTGGAAAGATAATGCAAGCCATTCTTTTTTGAGTGTATTTGATTTTCTCTTCAGGAGCATCTATTGTAGAATAAACCTCGTCTTTAAAAACTTTTTAATGTGCAAATATCTGAATGTGCACTGAAACAGCCTCTCCCAACCTGGGTTCCTAACCCAAGGGGTTCTGCGACTATCATTCAGGCACACTGACATCAGATCCAGAACTAGGCAGCACTGTAAAGTAACAGATCAGAGTCAGCAGCAAGGAAGCCGTAAAACATCTCCCCTCATCTGTAGCTTATGTGACCGCAGACACCATTGATCTTTTTTTTTTTTTTCTGTCTGTAAGGGCCACCAATACAAGAGGCAGTCTTCCCTCTCTAACCAAAGTAAAGCAGCAGAAACAGTGGTGGGTTTCACAATACACAGGTACATTTAATTCTTTACTCTTTTGCTGTATTTACAGCTTGCCAATCACAAATGTACTATGAGCTGTACATAAATGTATTTTGTATGCAAAAATGAGGCCAGAAAATAGTTTCAAGCATTTATATAGGGTCAAAAGTTTGCGAAAGGTTGCTATATAATTTTTACACCACCTGTGAGAGAGATGAATATGCCATCATAATGTTGGGGGAAAAGTAGGTTGCTGGGGCTTAAAAGGATCTTTATTGGACATTCTGTTTAACCTCTTGCTGTCAAGAAAAGCATATGTGCAGCAGCCAAAAAAAGGTAGTCTTTAACACCCATACGCCCCACATATGCAGCCATGGGCAGCAGAGGTTTCTTGCGCATGCTCCCATCACAGTGACCGAGCGTTCAAAGCAACGTCATGATCGGGTAATGAACAAGAGCTCGCAGGACTGGCTAACGCTTTCCTATGAAGACCAGAAGTTCAGGGAAGTAGCACAGAGAGCAAGAGCCAGCAACATCAATATTTTTATGCTACAAGTGCTTGGGTAAGAATTTTAATGAATAGTTTATTGGGGAATGTTTATTTTTTTGTACCCAATGTGCTAAGCTAAAAAGAAAAACCACCAAGGGTTTAATTCTTCTTTAACGTTACATTTTCCATCTTTTTAAAATCAGTTTTCATTAACCCCTTAACACCATGCCTCCTGGCCCTTTAAGAGGTTTTTGATGCCAGGTTGGGATTTATGATCACATAACTGGCTGCTACAGGTCACATGATTGGAAAGCTCCCAATCGCAAGTAGCAATTGGGAGCTTTCCATTCGGCACCAGTAACTGTGTAGGGAACATTTGGGTAAGCAAATATGCAGCCTTTCCTAATCATGTGACCGCAAATCACAGCGGTCACTCCACCCTAAAAACCCCACCCTGCCTCCCAGCTTCTGCAACCCTAAAGAGCCAGAAGGTGCTGGTGCCAAGGGGTTAAATTCCTTCTGTTTCTTCATGTAATCCCAGACAGACTCGATGTTGAGATCAGGGCTCTTTGGGAACCAAACCATTACTTCCAGGACTCGTACTCCTCTCCAGGCCTTTGGTAAACAAACTGCCTCCTGCTACAGCCAAAGATTAAAAATTTTTGACTAATTAGAGAACTTGCTGCCATTTTGTGCAACCCAGTTCCTATGTTTTCATGCATAGGACATGGAAACTATGCTAAGCGACTCAACAATGCACAAGAACAGAAACGGGGGGGGGGGAGAAAAATGGCAGCAGGTGCTCTGGAATGATGTGTCAAAATTCTGAAATATTTGGCTGTAGCAGAAGGCCTGGAGAGCGGCACAATAATGAGTGTCTACAGGCAACAGTGAAGCATGGTGGAGGTTCCTTGTATGTTTGGGGCTGCATTGCTGCAAATGGAGTTGGAGCTTTGGTCATTATCAATAGTATCCTCAATGCTGAGAAATACAGGCAGATACTTATCAATCATACCATACCATCAGGGAGGTGTGTGATTGGCCCCAAATTAATTTCTTCAGCAGGACAATAACCCCAAACATACAGCCAATGCCATTATCTTCATCATAAAGAAGAACAAGCAGTCCTGGAATTGATGGTTTGCCCCACAACATCATAGAGTCTGTCTGGGATTACATGAAGAGACAGAAGGATGTAAGGTAGCCTACAGCCACAGAAGATCTGTGGTTAGTTTTCCAAGATATTTAGAACAACTTAGCTGCTGAATTCCCTAAAAAAACAACCTGTGTGCAAGTGTACCTAGAATTGATGCTGTTTTGAAGGCAAAGGGTAGTCATACCAAATACTGAGTTTGAGTTGGATTTCTCCTCTTCTGTTCATTTACCCTCCATTTTGTTCATTGATAAAAATAAACTATTAACGCTTCTATTTCTGAAAGCTTTAATTCACAGCATTTTTTTTTCATACCTGCCTAAAAAACTTTTGCGCACTACTGCAAACAGGAAGTGAATAAAAGAGGCTGGAAGACATTAGCAGCACTTAGATGGAAAAAAGACCGAGGGCCAGACTTGCTAACTGGAAAAAAAAAAAAAACATTTAATTTTGAAAACCCAACATGAATATAGTTTTTATTTTTAAATACTTTAAATATTGCTACATATATCAACAATTCAAATGAGCATACTCAACCCTTATTATTTCAATATGAATCATCATCCATACGTGAACATTATATACAAACAAGGCAGTGTGTAATTCACTTGGCATGAAACAACGATGCTGTATGTGCTCCACAGACCAGCAAAGGCTCCTGCTCTGCCATGCACACTGTTAAAGGCTAGGAACTGGGTCCAAATGTTCCCGCTTTCTCTGCTACTTCCAAAGCAGACTTCAAGTTCTGGTCAAACAACTCACACCTAAAAGAAAATAAACATTGATTGATAGTAATTAGTTCAATAAAACAATCATAACTGTTAGTTTTGGACTAGAGTGCCAACTGAATTGATGATGAATTGTTAAAAAAAAAAAAAAAAAAAAAAAAAAAAAAAAAAAAAAGCCAGAAGCAGTGTGGGGTTTGTATTGCTGCTGCAGTCTCCACTGGGAGATGAGCCCTTATGCAGGCCATAGATGGGTCGAAAATCGGCCGATTTTTTGGCCGAAAATAAAATCGGTCGATTTTCGGATCGTTAGTGGGCGATTTGGTCGGCCGTTTTTCGGTATTTTGGCAGATTTTTTTTTTCCGGTAAAGTTGGAAAAAAAAAATCGGCCGATTTTGCCGATCGGCCCGATTTTCGCGGCAATGATGGGCAAATCGGCCGATTTTTTACCATATAAAAAATCTGCGCATGAGCAGTGACCTGCAAGAGGAAGACAAGAAGAAAATGAGGATGAAGAAGAATGATGAAGAAGAAGAAGTGGATGAGGATGAAGAAGCGGATGAGGAAAAAGCGGATGAGGATGAGAAGAAGCGGATGAGGATGAAAAAGATGAGGATGAGGATGATGAAGAAGAGGATGAGGATGATGAAGAAGAATAAGAAGAAAAAGAAGATGAAGAAGAAGAGGAAGATGATGATGATGAAGAAGAAGAGGATGATGATGATGAAGAAGAAGAGGATGATGATGAAGCAGGAGAAGAAGAAGAAGGATGAAAAATTAGAGGAATTCCAGTACGGCAAAAAGTGTCCCTGCAGAGAGCTCCGCTATTTCTGACAGTTCTCTGACAGTTCCTTGACATTTACAGCGGTTGCAACATTGTATCTATTTGTTTCCGAATAAAAACATCTGTATCCTAAATGGAAACAAATAGATACAATGTTGCAACCGCTGTAAATGTCAAGGAACTGTCAAAGAAATAGCAGAGCTCTCTGCAGGGACACTTTTTGCCGGCTCTAGACGGGATGAAAATCGGCCAATTTTTTTTTACCATTGATGGTAACGTCGGCCGCTTGAACGACCGATTTTTCGTTTTTTAAAAAGAAAAATCTGCCGTTTTTCTCCCCATCTATGGCCTGCATTACTCTATGTGCTGGTGATGACAGCAGGTGAGAGGGAGTTCATAATTTGACAGTTGCTACAAAAACAGCATTAGTTCAAGGTGGAATTTCATTTTCAGAGGATTTCCCTTCACATCCTGTTGTATCTGTCTGTGCAGGAAGCAAGGCCCCATGGGGGCCAAACAGATATACGTAAAATCTGGAATGAGTGACAAAGCCTTCCCCTTAACAAGGCAGTTCTCTAGTTCTACTTGAAAGTGTACCTAAACACCAACAGAAAAATGTATTGCAACCTTTTCTAAGATGGCTGCATTAGCTCTCTTTTTTCAGACACTTTTTCCCTTAAATTTTCTCTGGGTAATCCTGCAAATAACTCCGACTTCAAACATGTCTGCCTTTGTTCATCTCCATTATGTGGGGAATGATGGGATTAGAAATTCACACAAAAAAAATAAAATTGCTTAACCACCAAACTTTTTCTGAAACTTTTTGCTTACATGTAACAACCAGAATTTTTTGCTGGAAAATTTCTTAAAACCCCCAAACATTACATATTTTTTTAGAGCAATCTAGAGCATAAATTGGTGGGTGTTGCAAATTTTTTCACACTGTATTTGTGCAGCAGTTTTGTTTGGGGGAAAAAAATACTTTTTGAATTTTAATGCAAACACAATACATAACCCAACTTTTTGGGAAGGTATAAAAGATGTTACACTGAGTAAACAGATACCAAACACGTCATGCTCTAAAATTGTGCATGCCCGTGCAATGGTGACAAACAACGAAAATTTTACCATCCATAGATGATGCTTTATAAGGCTTTACAGGTTACCACTTTAGATTTACAGAGGAGGTCTGGTGCTAGAATTACTGCCCATGATCTGATGGTCACTGTTACCTCATATACCTCACGTGTGGGACCATTGCTACTTGTGTGCAGGACTGAGGTGTGCATTGGCCCTTGCACATGGGGAATGGAGCACTTTAATTTTTTTTATACTGTCGCTTTAAATTTTGTTTTGATCACTTTTATTGCTGTCACAAGGAATGTAAACATCCCTTGTGACACTAATAGGCATGTGACAGGTACTCTTTATGGAGGGATCTGGGGTCAATTAAGCCCCAAATCCCTCCTATGCCGTTAAAAGCATTTGATCACACCAAGATCGGTGTGATCAAATGCTTTTCATATTTAAAAATGGTGCTGTTTTTATCCAGGTAAACTGGAAGTGATGGAAGGTCATCCCTATATCATAGAACTGAACGGTACTGCTTTTTTCTGGACTCCATGATCAGCTGGTGGTGCGCATGGGTTGGTTGATTGGGTGTCCAGGTAAGATGGAACAGCTTGTCAAAGTCGCAGAAAGGTGGGGGGGGGGGTGTCACTCAGATTGCTTTTACAGGAGGAGCCGACTATGGGCTCAAAAGAAAAAAAAAAATGGTACCGGGGTGATGCCGGGCATCATCCCGGTATAACCACTTGAAGTCCAGCAACATACATCACTGGTCGCATGTGGTAATGCTTCCACTTGAGCTCACAGGATGTAACAAAGATGCTGTATTTCTGGCAGGGTCAAGAGGTACTTGCTGAAAATATTCTTAGCCTGAAAACTAATGTAGCCACCACCTCTAAGGACTGGTAATCTGCAATACATTGCAACTTTTAATTGCTAACTAAACCAAAGAACAAAAATGTAAAGAATAGCCAAGTTCTCCTTTGAAGAATAGCTTACCTTCAAACAGGAGCAAGCAATTAAAAAGCACTAATTATATACATTATATAAACCAGGGTAGCTTTAATACAATATTTGACTCACCAGCAGATTTTATAAACATTAGAAATACTGTATATCATGAATAGTCTGTTCAATGACATAGCTTTGCATAAAATAATTCCAGTGGATTGTGATCTTATTTCCTCACAAAGTCCACCCATTATAGTTACTTCTGCTAATAATTAACCATCACTGCCATCAACAAGCATGCCTCTCTTCACCTGTCAGCACAAACAGTTGGGTTATGCAGTTCATAGATAAGAATAGCATAACAGAAGATGGTGTAAACAGCATGAACTGTGAAAAGGGGCTTGATTACACTGACAAGTATTGCACTGCTGAATATGTTAGATATTCCGCATTTCCATGTGAGTTGAGTTGAGCTCAATATACACTTCTATATTTGTCAGCTGCCATGTCATGCTGCTCCGACTCAAACCATGTATGCAGCATTTAGGCTGCACTGTACCACTGACTCTAGTTACTTTGTTTGGCAGAGAGACTCTCTGGGAGTGTGATAGCAGCATGGGCTGTCATCTACACACAGGAGGCATATCATCACAGCACAGAGCCATGCTGTAAATGTATGCTGAGCTGCACATGCATGGGCTCCGTGTACTTAAACGCTGGCAGGGAGACCAACACGGTTGCTTCGGTCATAAAATTCCTACTGCGCAGCATTTTCTCTATTTTTTTTTTTTTTTTTTAAGTTGAAAGGAAAGTTGAAATTTAATCTTTGAAATATGTTACATGTTCCACCAGTATTTAAGGTGAACATGTAAACGGCTTTCTAATCCCCCTGATCCCTCATCCCTGTAACAGCGGGTGGGGGATCTTTTCCCTGCACCAGCTGTCAGACTTTAAAATATTACATCTACCATCAGCCTCTGTGTCCAAGGGAATGTAGTTCTCAATTAACTGCGAGTACGTTGGAAAGTTAATTGATTCTTCCTGTCATTCAGTAGCTGACAGCTTACTGAGTATCTCAGGATCTTGGCATTGCACCTGTGATCTGATGATCGTGGGTGCAATGCCTTACAGGCTGCAGCATATAAAAATAATAAATTCACATTTTTTACCTGAAAAAAAACATTTTTCTAAAAGATGAACTTCACCTTTTATTCTGGCTTAAATTGTTTTTTTTGTTCTTTTTTACCCAGACATCCACTTGGCTAGGTTCAAAAGACTGAGCTGTAGGTTCCCACAGTGTGCAGTTTTAGCTCCTGAATGAGGAAGCATCACAGTAACATGGCAAATAATTCATACCTAATGGGCATTTCCAGGGAGTAAAATGGATTCTTGAGTGCATAGTCAGAATACAGTTCATAGATTTTGCGTAGTAAAGCATCAATGCCAGCCTGGCGTGGATCTGACAATACCATAAATTTTATACCTGCAGAGAAGGAAAGGGCATATTGGAATGGACAGTAAACATACAAATAGACAATTAACACTTTTGTATACAAAGTCAGCAAATACAGCATATATGGACATTTTCTGAGTAAACTGAGCAAGAGCTACCTAAAACTGAGCTTCAAGTATACATTACAGTGGTAGGAAACACTGCTTGGACATTTGATTTGTACCTACAAGTAATCTTATAATAAATCTTTCCTGTGGGTACAAGAAACATCTAAACATGAACCGTTTAGGGACTATTCACGTTTGTAGCAGCCGGAGCTGTCACCAATGCATGCGCACTGCACACTGAATGGATGGCACTCTAAACAGTGCTGTGCCGCAATCATGGCTCCCATGTGCATGCATGGAAGTGACGTCTTTGCAGTTTGGCCATTCAAAACGACTGGAGCCCACAAACCTGGAAGGAAGGCCAGGTTAGATGGAAGTCCTGTCAGCGGTGACAGTGTGCTGCTGCAGGGATCCCTTTTGCAGGCAAGTCTTTCTTATTGTTCCAGTATGTGATGCATACTAGCACATTATGCCATTAACTTGCAAGGGGGGGGGGGGGGGGGGGAGGGCTTTTTTTTTTTTGGATGCTCAGACTTTACTACCACTTTAATGCGACTAAGTAGTCTTTAATACACCATTAAAATATATTTTAAGGATGCAAGCACCTAGGCCTGACCTATCAGCCTCTTGTGTAGTTGTACAGCAGGGCTGGAGTATGAGAGGAATAAACAGCACACAGGACCAATCAGTTCATATGCTACAAGAAGCATGCAGAAGTGAAGAGAGAGCAGTACAGAAAGGGATGAGTTTCATCACTGTGCTGCCTCTCTTTTCATTGTCCAGTCACAGGCTGAAGTGGTTCCAGAATGACCTGGATTGACAGGAAGTGGGTTGAATGATGCTGGCCATCACACTTAAGACATCTAGTAGCAGATTAAAAAAAAAAAAAAAAAAAAAACACTGCAGTGTGAAATCTCTAACAGATTTTTTTTTCCTTTTTTTATCTTTTAAAGGGCATTCATTTTATCTTGATAATTTTACTTGGAATTCTGCTTTAAAAGTAGAAGGCAAGGTTTTAATCATGCAAGTAATCATGTAGCTCCCAATGCTCACCGAGCATGCACATTGTATTACAGTGACCACTGGTTTACTAACATTTCCAGAGCAAATCTAAAGCATATCTCTGAAGACAACCCAGCTGGTTGTAGACCAATGAAGATTTTTAGACACGTGTACAGAAAAAATTATGTATTTTGTGTAGTAAACCAATGCAAAGTGAAATACTTTTTTCTAGCAATGATGGTACTATCTGTAGTATGCTTTAGGATAACTAATCACATTTTGCTGTATTACACATTTCCCAATAATAATAGCCTCTGGCCAAGAGGTGGGTATGTGACTTCCAGGACTGTCTCTCACTTTCAGACAGCTAGCTGTTTGGTTTCTCTCTGGAATTGAACACGTTGCGTTCGGTTTGCTTTTCAGGAGGATAGACCTAACAAAGTTACTTTTAATACTAATCAGAACTTTTTTACCCCATCTGTCACTGACATCCAGCAAGCTGAGGCAGAGCCAGTACAGACTAGGGATTACATCCATCCCATGGATGGATTGGATGCAGATCATATCTGACAGATGGTCTGTGAGGGACTCTAATAAGTGATTTAGCATTTCTTTGTGGACACTAATATTAATGACTGTTTATACAAGGACTCCAGAAGGCTTCTAGGGTATGTTCCCTCTGCGTTGTCTTTTTGCTATCTTACATTCCCCATATTTATGTTTGCATTCCAATGTAAGACTGTATGCTGTAAAACATCCAGATCACGTTCACAAATAAGGTTTGAAAAGGTTACATGATCACAAAGATGCTGTATTGTAACAAAAGTGGCTATACAAATATGATAACACACATACAATACTTATTGGTTTATAGAAGAAATGTTATAACACTCCAGACGTGTATAACAAATGCTTGGCATATAAATACCGACACAATACAAGAATGTTATAACAAGCATTTCAAAGTAGCTAGGCAGAAGCCTCTCAGTGCAAAACACATAAAAGCCAGCTTGGAGTTCAAAGCTTTTGCAAACTCCAAGTAGGCATTCATGTGTTTTACACAGAGAGGCTTCCATCTAGCCACTCTGCCATAAAGCCCAGCTCAGCGGAGGGCTGCAGTCATGGTTGTCCTTCTGGAACTTTGTCCCATCTCCACACAGGATCTCTGGAGCTCAGAGTGACCATCAAGTTCTTGGTCACCTCTCTTACTAAGGCCCTTCTCCCCTGATTGCTGAGTTTGGCGAGGTGACCAGCTCTTGGAAGAATCCTGGTTGTGCCAAACTGTCTCCAAGGGAAAATTATGGCGGTCACTGTGCTCTTGGGAATCTTCAGTGCAGCAGATTTTTTTTTGTAGCCTTCCCCAGATCTGTGCCTTGCCATAATCCTGTCTGTGAGCTCTGCAGACTGCCTGCAGAGCTCAGAAACAGGATTACTGCAAGGCACAGATCTGGGGAAGGCTAAAAAAAAAAAAAAAAAAAGAAAAATAATAATATGATGCTGCACTGAAAGTTCCCAAGCTCCTTTTGCTCTGATACAGTATGCATTGTCAGCTGTGAGGCCTCTTCTAGAGAGAGGTGTGTGCCTTTCCAAATCATGTCCAATCAATTTAATTTACCATAGATGGACCCCAATCAAGGTGAAGAAACATCTCAGAAACGATCAAGAGAAACGGGAGGCACCTGAGCTAAAATGTCAAGTGTTGTTGCAAAGGGTCTGATTACTTAAGACAATTTGATGTTTCAGTTTTTTTTTTATATTTTTAATAAATTCACAGACATTTCTAAAATTATGTTTTCACTTTGTCATTATGGGGTACTGAGTGTAGATTAATGAGAAAAAAAAAAAAAAACATGAATGTAAACAACTGTAGTATCGGACTGCAACATAACAAAATTGAAAATGTGAAGGGTCTGAATGCTTTATGAATGTACTGTATAATTACAACTGTATGTAGGCTTAACATTTAAACTTTGTTAATTCCTAACATTTTTCTTGCTTCTGACAGATTTGGCAGTGCTTGAGTAATCACAGAAATAGCTGGGGAAACAAGACACTGTCATATTTTCTTTGAAGTGTCTATTGATATTAAAATCTTCAAAGTGTTCGTAAACCCAGGACCTCATATTCACTATATCCGGTCCTCCACAGAACATGGAAATGCAATTATTTTAGTAAATATGAACTGCTAATACCTTTTCTCATCAGCAGTTAGAGCAGTCTTGAGTCTTGTGACTTCTATCAGCGTCCAGCCAAGCACCGGTAAATTTTGTTGGAGGAGTTTGAATTCTTCTCCAACTGTCCTATGGGGCTGCATAACCCCTGACCCTCTATCTGGACAGTGTGGAAGTTGTGACATCATCAGCCGCCTCTCTGACGCAGCCAATCCGAGCAGGCTCTGTATTCATTAATAGAATACATAACTTGCCGTGATTGGCTCATATGACGTCCTCCCATTCTCCGCGCATGTGCGGCTCAGGGAGTGCGCGGCGATCGGCGGTGCGCTGTGTCTCTCAGACACAGTGGATCACCGATCACGGAAAAAGCAGAAGATGTCGGCTCGGTCATGTGATCAGCTGTGTCCAATCACAGCTGATCACATGTAAACAGGGAAATGTCGGTTATCGGCATTTCTTTCCTCTCGAGCTGTCACGCTGACAGAGGAGAGGAGAGCCGGTAATCGGCTTTCCGCGGAGGGGACATGTACACTGAACATCAGGGCACTGATGATCAGTGTGCCCTGATGATCAGTGTAGCCCCAGCAGTGCCACCTGTCAGTGTCCATCAGTGCCAGCTGTCAGTGCTCATCAGTGCCATTGCCCATCAGTGCCACATCAATGCCACATATCAGTGCCCATCTGAGCTGCCTTTCAGTGTCACCCATCAGTGCCAGTCAGTGCCACCTATTAGTGCCAGTCAGTGCCACCTTTCAGTGCCGCCTATCAGTTCTGCCTTTCAGTGCCGCCTATCAGTTCTGCCTATCAGTGCCAGTCAGTGCCGCCTATCAGTGCCAGTCAGTGCCGCCTATCAGTGCCACCTATCAGTGCCAGTCAGTGCCGCCTATCAGTGCCATGTATCAGTGCTGCCTTTCAGTGTCCATCAGTGAAGCCTGTCAATGCCCATCAGTGCCTCAGTGGCCATCAGTGCCACCTATCAGTGTCCATCAGTGCAGCCACATTAGTGCACGAGTGAAGGAGAAAAATCACTTCTTTACAAAATTTTTGAACAAAAACTAAGAAAAAACTTTTTTTTTTTTTCAAAATCTTCAGTGGTTTTTGGTTTAAGAAAACAAAATAACCCAGCGTTGATTAAATACCACCAAAATAAAGCTCTGTCACAAAAAAAGATAAACATTTTATATGGGTACAGTGTTGCACGACCGCGCAATTGTCATTCAAAGTGTGACAGCGCTGAAAGCCGAAAATTGTCCTGGGCAGGAAGTGGGTATAAGTGCCCTGTAGGCTTGCGGTTAAATGGTGTTGCCTCAGAAGGGGGGTAGTCTTATACGACGATTATAGCCCAAAACCTGTGTTTTAACTGGAAAACTAGGGGGTCGTCTTATACACCCAGTCGCCTTATACGCCGGCAAATACGGTATATATTTTTTGGAAAAAAATACACTTTTGATTAAAAAAAACAAAAAAAACAAATATATACCCCATTTGTTTTGTAAAATATGATATACTATGTTATGGCAAGTAAATAGATACCCAACATGTCATGCTTTAAAATTGCACACACTCGTGGAATGGCGTCAAACTATGATACTTAAAAATCTCCATGGGTGACGCTTTAAAAATTTCTACAAGTTACCAGTGTAAAGTTACAGAGGTCTAATGCGAGAATTATTGCTCTTGCTCTGACGTTCATGGCAGTACTTCACGTGTGTGGTTTGAACACCATTTACATATGTGGTCGTGGCCTAGGTATGCATTCACCACTACGTGCGAGCATGTGGGGGGACGGGGGCAATTTAAACTTTTTTTTTTACACTGTCCTGTTAGGAATAAGGAATGAAGGAATGCATGAATCCCTTGTGACATAAATAGTTAGTGACAGGTCTTTATGGAGAGATATGGGGTCAATAAGACCCCACATCTCTCCTCTACAATGTAAAGCATTAGCTCAAAAAAGCATTGATCTAGTGCTCTAAAAAGAAAAAACTAAACAAAAAAACAAAACAAATGGCCTTATTTACAAGGCGCCAGAACCAAAAGTGACATTGCTCCAGTCCTGCAAGGGCATAGAGATGAGTGGAGGCCATCTTTTCCTCCACTTATCTCTATGCCCAGCGCCAGGGTCGTTCAATGGTTTCTCAGGTAAGGCTCAGAACCACCGAGTGGCAGCAGATTGTGGCAGGTTACTTTTGGCACCTGTATCGGTGCTTATTTTCATATCGGCCAATGGCTGATAGGGGTGTTTTCGGCCAAAAACATTTCGGTCCACCCCTACAAAAAACAAACACACTAATGAATGGAAAAAAGATTCCACCCACAAAAGCACTTACCTGTCAGAGTCTGAAAGCAGTGCAGTTTGAATGTATCCGTTTCCAGCATTTCAATGCCAGAACTTCCTGGCTCAGGAGAGAGTTTGGGATCCAATAGCAAATAGCCTGGAATACAGGAAAAGGGAAAAAAAAAAAAAAAAAAACTTTGATTCAATTTTGTATGTGCTCAAATTGGTAAGCACAGATTTCGAACATGAGAGTGAAAGAGCAAGAAAAAGATGAGGTCCCCTCCCAAAGCTGTGTAAATCCGAGGACTGGATGGACAGAAATACAAATCTGTTTTCAGGTAAAACAGATCTGTGTTGATGTATTCATCTGTATGCCTGGAGCTCAGCTTGATAACAGTCCTCAGGCTTAATGTAATCAATGTTCTGCATCTGACAATTCTGGTTTTCTTGCAGAGTACAACCAACTCCCCCTGCAATACTTGTGGCGTTCTCTGACCACCTACTTGAGGAATTATGTTGTCTGAATTAGCACTGCCTTGGACACATTTGTATGCTTCCTAGTGGGCTTTGTTATACTATGACTAGCACCCAAGTTGTGTAACAGAGGAGGAATATTGCCGCATGTTGCCTTGTTGTCTCCTGTAGTTACGCTTTTACCTTGACTTCTATCTGCATTGCCTGGCAACCTACCAAATCCGGCATACATAGCCAATGTCTTTCTGGATCCAGACCTCTCCATCTGGTCACATAATTGGGTTGCTCTACTGCAGAACATTAACAAGCCACACAAGGGCAGAAGGCCTTCATTCAAATGGCTCCTCTGGATTAAAAAATACATTTTCCCTCCAGCAAAATGTGTTACTCCCAATCCCTACATTTTCCCATATACTATGAAAACGTCATATTATAAAAAAAAAAACTATCAAAGCATTCATTCTGGATTATTATGCTGAAAATAACATGTTAAACAAGCGTGCCTAAATGCAGAAACTCACGAGTGAAACATGGAGGCCAACATCAGCTTCTCATTAGATGTAAGACGAGGTCTCCCAAAGCGGATGGAAAGCGGATAGTTGGAGGGGTTTCCCAGAAAGTCCAGAACTTCCTTTCCATCTGCTGTGTATCGTCCATTCACATCAATGCCATTGATAGAGAGCACAGAATGTCCAACTATACGGGATTATAAAAACACGACACATAATTATTACTAAATACATTGCATGGCGGAGACAGCAAACAAGCAGAGTGATGACACAGTACATGTTCCTCAGTAACGAACTATAAAATGTCAGCTGAGATGTCGCTGAGGTCACAGTGAGGTGTAGATACACGCAGATCTCCAGTGCAATACACTATACAATCCTGCTGCAGGGAGATGTGGAAATCCATAAATTCTATTTTGTTGTTGGAATAAAACACAGAATTCATGACAAACATACATACAAACTATAAAACAAACTGAAAGTGCACAAATATTGTGTGACACCTTTGTTAAAGCTCAACTCTGGGAACTACAAAAAAAACCCCAAAACTATCCTCACAGTGCAAGAGTTGAATGTTCCCAAGAGATAAGAAATCAGGTGTAAGGATGACCTCACTCCATCCATGTCCTCTCCAATAGGACGCTCTCCAGCTGGCGGTCGCACCATGACATCATCAAGAAAAAATACAAGGCCAATAGATCTGCACTGTACACAAGAAGGCCCCTTTCACACGGGAGTTCTATATGTCCGATTTTCAGCTGTCTTTTTACGGATGAAAACCGCACACCATCCATATTTCTATGAACTAGCAGATGTAAACGGATGATCATCCATTTACATCAGCTAATGTCTGCATCCATTTTTTAAACTGAAGAAAACCCTATTTTTCTTTCCGTAAAAAAAACGGAACGGACATATGGTCCATTTTTGCATTGGTAAAGGATTTAAAAACCGGATGTAAACTGATGAAAATGGACATATTGTCTGTTTTTGCATTGGTAAAGAATGTGAAAAACTGACGTGAACTGATCCGATTCTTCAACGTAACTGAACTAATGAATAAAACAGAACGGCCGTGTGAAAGGACCCGTACGGCAAGGGGCTGCGCTCTTGTTGTAGCAGAGCACCATAAACTGAAATTAAAATGACATCCAGAAGAGACCTGCTCAACCCTCCGTGTACAGAAGAAGCCCCTGTAGTAGACCCTGTTAGTATGCAACCACTGTTTCTAATGCACAACACTGCTGGTGTATTTTAAAGGGGAACTTCACTCTCTCAATCAACATTTAATTCTTATGCTGCTAATATTAGTAAATAGATAGGAAAGTATATTGCATTTACTTGCTTTAAACTTTTTTTTTTTTTTTTTTTTTTTTTCAGTTACTTCCTGGTTTACATGTCTAGGCAAATGATGTCATACATCCCAGAAGTCTTTAGGAGGGGAGGAGGGACTTTCTCAGCTAAGCACACACTCCCGCCTGAGCTATGGGCAGATGGCTTTCAGATTCCAGAAGTAAATTAATTTGCCATTACTTAAGATGGTCGCAGCCAGAAATGCTAGAAGGGTGTTTTTTTTCAAAGTGATTTCTCAGTAAAATAAAGCATGGAGACATGGATGGATGGGTCAGTTTGCTTTAAATATTAAAATGAAGTAAAAGAGAAGTGTGGATTTTTATTTATACTTACCTAGGTGGATGCTGCATCTGTCCCCTGCCAGCTCTAGGTGTGAGAACTCAGCAGTCACATGATCGCTGGTTGCTGAGTTACATAGTTAGTCTGGCTGAAAAAAAGACAAAAGTCCATCCAGTTCAAACATAAAAAAAAAAGTTATAATCCTATACCACCAGTTGATGCAGAGGAAGGCAAAAAAAAAAAAAAAACAAGACAGCAAAGCACGATCCAATTTGCTCCTGCTGGTTACAAAATTCCTTCCTGATCCCCCAAGAGGCAATCGGATATTCCCTGGATCAACTTTACCTATAAATGTTAGTATCCAGTTATATTCTGTGTATCCAAGAAATAATCCAGGCCTTTTTTTAAGCAATCCACTGAGCTGGCCAGAACCAACTCTTGAGGGAGTCTATTCCACATTTTCACAGCTCTCACTGTGAAGAAACCTTTCCGTGTTTGGAGATTAAATTTCTTTTCCTCCAGACATAAAGAGTGCCCCCTTGTCCTCTGTGATGACCTCAGGGTGAATAACTCTACACCGAGTTTACTATATGAACCACTGATGTATTTATACATGTTGATCATATCCCCCTTAATCTCCTCTTCTCAAGAGAGAATGAATTCAGTTCCTCTAATCTTTCCTCATAGCTGAGCTCCTCCATGCCTCTTATCAGTTTGGTTGCCCTTCTCTGTACTTTTCTCCAGTTCCCCAATGTTCTTTTTGTGAATTGATGCCCAAAACTGAACTGCATATTCCAGATGAGGTCTTACTAATGATTTGTACAGGGGTAATATGATATCTCTCTCTCTGGAGTCTATACCTCTATTAATACAAGAGAGGATTTTGTTTGCTTTAGAAACCGCAGCTTGGCATTGCATGCCATTATTAAGCTTGTGATCTACCAGAACTCCCAGATCCTTCTCCACCATTGATTCCCCCAGTTGTACTCCCCCTAGTATGTATGATGCATGCATATTCTTAGCCCCCAAGTGCATAACCTTACATTTATCAAGGCTGCGCTGGGGGTGGAGGGGCCGAGGGTGTCTTGGGGGTGGAGGGGCCGAGGCTGTGCTGGGGGTGGATTGGCCAAAGCTGCGCTGGGGGTGGAGGGACCGAGGGTGTCTTGGGGGTGGAGGGGCCGAGGGTGTCTTGGGGGTGTGCTGTGAGTGGAGGGGCCGAGGGTGTCTTGGGGGTGGAGGGGCCGAGGGTGTCTTGGGGGTGGAGGGGCCGAGGCTGCGCTGGGGGTGGATTGGCCAAAGCTGCGCTGGGGGTGGATTGGCCAAAGCTGCGCTGGGGGTGGAGGGGCCGAGGGTGCTTGGGGGTGGAGGGGCCGAGGCTGCGCTGGGGGTGGAGGGGGCCGAGGGTGCGCTGGGGGTGGAGGGGCCGAGGCTGCGCTGGGGGTGGAGGGGCCGAGGCTGCGCTGGGGGTGGAGGGGCCGAGGCTGCGCTGGGGGTGGAGGGGCCGAGGCTGCGCTGGGGGTGGAGGGGCCGAGGCGGCGCTGGGGGTGGAGGGGCCGAGGCTGCGCTTGGGGGTGGAGGGGCCGAGGCGGCGCTGGGGGTGGAGGAGCCGAGGCGGCGCTGGGGGTAGAGGGGCCGAGGGTGTCTTGGGGGTGGAGGGGCCGAGGCTGTGCTGGGGGTACCGAGGGGGGCTGGAGGCTAGAGGGACCGAGGCTGTGGAGGGACGAGGCTGTGCTGGGGGGGGAGGGGATGGAAGGGGAAGGCTGTGCTGGGGGGAGGGGCCAAATCTGTGCTGGGGATGGAGGAGCCGAGGCTGTGCTGGGGATGAAGGGGGGAGGGGCCGAGGCTGCGCTGGGAGGGAGGGGCCGAGGGTGTCTTGGGGGTGGAGGAGGGAGGGGCCGACGCTGCGCTGGGGGTGGAGGGACCGAGGCTGTGCTGAAGGACCGGGACTGTGGGGGGGGAGCCGAGGCTGTGCTGGGGATGGAGGGGGGAGGCTGTGATGGGGGGAAGGGCCAAATATGTGCTGGGGATAGAGGAGGAGGAGGGGCCTTGGCTGTGCTGGGGATGGAGGAGGAGGGGCCGAGGCTGCGCTGGGGATGGAGGAGGAGGGGCCGAGGCTGCGCTGGGGGTGGAGGGGCCGAGGGTGTCTTGGGGGTGGATTGGGCCAAGACGCTGGGGTCTTGGGGGTGGAGGGGCCGAGGCTACGCTGGGGGTGGAGGAGGTGGCTGGGGGTGAGGGGCCGAGGCTGCGCTGGGGGTGGAGGAGCCGAGGCTGCCTGGGGGTGGAGGGCCGAGGCTGCGCTGGGGGTGGAGGGGCCGAGGCTGGAGGGGAGAGGAACCGAGGCTGTGCTGGGGGGTGGAGGGACCGAGGCTGTGCTGAGGAGGGACCGAGGCTGTGCTGGGGATGGAGGGGGACTGTGCTGAGGGAGCCGAGGCTGTGCTGGGGATGGAGGGGGGAGGCTGTGATGGGGGGAAGGGCCAAATATGTGCTGGGGATAGAGGAGGAGGAGGGGCCTTGGCTGTGCTGGGGATGGAGGAGGAGGGGCCTTGGCTGTGCTGGGGATGGAGGAGGAGGGGCCGAGGGTGTCTTGGGGGTGGAGGAGGCTGCGCTGGGGGTGGAGGGGCCGCGGGGCTGCGAGGGGGTGGAGGGGCCGGCCAAGGCTTCGCTGGGGGTGGAGCTGGGGGGCCGAGGCTGCGCTGGGTGGGAGGGGCCGAGGCTGCGCTGGGGGTGGGGCCGGGGCCGAGGGGGTAGAGGGGGGGCTGGAGGGGAGAGGGACCGAGGCTGCTGCTGGAAGAGGAGGGGCCGAGGGTGTCTTGGGCTGGGGGAGGGGCCGAGGCTGGAGGGGGTGAGAGGGACCGAGGCTGTGCTGGGGGGAGGGGCCAAATCTGTGCTGGGGATGGAGGAAGAGGTTCCTTGGCTGTGCTGGGGATGGAGGGGGGAGGGGCCGAGGACTGACTCTTCCTGGAGTGACTGAAGTCCTTAACATATTGAAAGGCACAATGGACAACAGAGGAGAAGGCTGGCAGTGAAGAGGAGAGGGGGGCGATCATGTAGTCAGGATCCCCCCGGTCCCGGCTCACCCCGGATGTTGTCTCTCTGACCGAACGACACCAACACCCGCTCATCGTGGACTTTGAGGACGAAGTCCAGGGGGAAGCTAAAGGTTTTCTCGGTCTCGGATCGTGGGTTCTGGTTGTCCAGCTGGTAGATGAGTCCTCCTGCTTTGTTCACCACATACACACTGAAGATCGCCATCTTTCCGGCCACCTCCGTCACCTGACACACGCTGGGCGGAGTCTCCCCCTGGAGGATGAAGGGAAATGTAGTTCTCTGCCATAGGATGGGGGAGGGGTCACCTTCAGTGGAAGACAACATCAGATTTCACATAGGACAGTTTACTGTAGAAGCAGTGCAGGTCTATAGCCCATTATATGTCTATCTGTGCCTTCAAACCTTTCTGAGTCACAGACGCCGAGCAAGCATGTTGCAAGTGAAGTCACAACCTCTGTATAGTATATTTGTTCCAGGTCCTTGGCTTTAGAACAGGGGACCCCAAACTGGGGAAAAATGCAGCCTCTTGTCTGGGGCCCTAGTTCTCCCACTGACACCAACAGTAGTATATTATTCCTTCCACTGTCTCCAATGACAGGGAAACTATTCCCCCCACTGACACCTGTCACGATCGTGGCGTCAGACCCCAGACCTTCTCACCAAACTCGTGACCGAAAGACTAGCCAATCTACAACCGTGATGTGACGTGCATAACAATGCCACACCCAGCTGCACCCTGCACAACGACTTTCCAGCTAATGGATACAGATCGATGTGACAGCAGCCTGAATCGATTGTTACTGGGTCAGGTTAATTACGCAATTAACCCTTCACACTGCCACCACCTCCTTTTTTATCAGAGAAAGAGGAAACTCAGCGTTCAGCTATAACACTATAATGGTTGATATAATCGTCTGTATAACACGGTCCGCAGGCCGATTATACAGAGGTTCAAACAAACACAGTAGCTCTTTAAAGTTCTCTTTAAAGGCAGGGATTCGTAAATTGCAATTAAGAGCTATAGAAACAGTTCAACACTTTCAGAAAAAAGATTTATTACTAAGAGGTCAAACGGGTGCAATGAAAAATATTTACAGAAAAAGATGTAACCAATATATATATATAAACATACAGAAAGAGATGTAACTAAGATATATATACACTCCGCTCCTTCAGCCTTGCTACCATTGAGGAGGTCACTAAGGTCTTCTCAAAAGCCCGCCTCACCACTTGCCCCCTTGACTCTGTCCCCACGCAACTCCTCCGGTCATCCTCCTCCTCCATCCTACGCTCCCTCATTCACATCTTCAATCTCTCCCTTTCCAATGGCGCATTCCCCTCCCCCCTAAAGCACGCGCACATCACCCCCATACTCAAAAAACCCTCCCAGGACCCCACCGACCTGAACAACCTTAGACCCATCTCCCTGCTGCCATTTACTTCCAAGCTCCTTGAGCGCTTAGTCTACAATCGCCTATGCGCCCACCTCACTGGCAACAACCTCCTCGATCCACTACAGTCTGGATTACGCCCCCTACACTCCACCGAAACCGCCCTACTCAAAATCACTAATGACCTGCTAACCGCCAAAGCTAATGGCCACTACTCAGTCCTCTTACTCCTCGACCTTTCTGTGGCCTTCGACACTGTCGACCACCCCCCTCCTCCTTAATAAACTACACTCCCTCGGCATCAGAGACTCTGCTCTCTCCTGGCTCTCCTATCTATCCCAACGCTCCTTCAGCATTACCTATAACGCTATCACTTCCCCTTCCCTCCCCCTCTCTGTTGGGGTCCCCCAAGGCTCTGTCCTCGGGCCCCTTCTCTTCTCCATCTACACCTCCTCCCCTGGCAAACTGATACACTCCCACGGCTTCAACTATCATGTCTACGCCGATGACACGCAAATTTACCTCTCCACCCCTTGCCTCACTCCTTCAGTCTCCGCCCGTATCACCCACCTACTGAACGACATATCAGACTGGATGTCACTCCATTTCCTCAAATTGAACCTTTCCAAAACCGAGCTCCTGATTTTCCCCCCAGCCCGTGCCCTCCCCCCCCCACCCTCTCCATCACGACCAACAACACCACCATCAGTCCCACCCCGCAAGCCAAAGTCCTAGGTGTCACTCTAGACTCAGACCTGTCCTTCCAACCCCATGTCCAATCATTGGCAAACTCATGCAGGCTCCACCTCCTCAACATCTCCAAAATACGTTCGTTCCTAACCCCAGACACTACTAAACAACTCGTAAATACCAATGTTGTACCGCGCTCCAATATTTTCAACCTTGTGTGATATTGTGAATTCCTCAGTGTACCACCTATAATCCAATAATTACATGCATCAATTCTACTTAAATATATAATTAATGTGAATATATAGATTAAATTATTTTATAAATGTGAAATAATAAATGTTTTTTTAAAAAATATAAGTAAAAAATATATATATAAGAAGAAAATTAATTTAAAGAAAATAAATTTGAAATGGGAATGTCAGTTCTCTTCTTTGAAAATGAGATGGTATTGTTGTTCAGTCTAATTAGTGTGATGAGTCTGTGTTCACAGCGTGAACCTCTCTCTCCTTTCTCCTCTCCTCTCTCCTCAGCACAGCCTTCTCAATAGGACTTTCTTCACTGGCTGCTTGGCTTATTCCTCCATATACGGAACATACAGAGAAGGGAAAAGAAACATAGTGTCTTATCCGGGATATAAATTATTTATTAAACTTTGATCTCCCACTCACATTGTGTAAATATAAGTAGCGCTTTGCATAAAATGTATCCAGATCGTACTACAAACAGCCTTGCAGGTGTGTCTGCCTTCAATGAGTATACTCGCCGTTCCTCTGTGGATGCGTGATGACGTCACCGCCCCTCCCCTACGCGTTACCCTACAGGGACTCATAGCTTCCTCTGGGGGATGTAGTTTTTCTGTAGTTTTTTTTCGTTCACTCCCTTATTATCTCACGTCTGGACTACTGCAACTCCCTCCTCACCGTCCTACCTCATCGCAGACTATCCCCGCTTCAGTCTATGCTGAACTCAGTGGCCAGACTCATCCACCTTACCAACCGCTCTGCTTCTGCCACCCCCCTCTGTCATTCCCTCCACTGGCTTCCGATTGCCCAACGCATTAAATTCAAACTACTAACACAGACATACAAAGACATTCATAATGCTGCCCCAAACTACCTCACCGACCTAATACCCAAAAACCAACCAACCCGTAATCTTCGCTCCTCACAAGACCTCCTACTCTCTAGCTTCCTGGTCTCAACCTCCCACGCCCGACTGCAGGACTTCTCCAGGACTTCCCCCATCCTCTGGAACTCACTACCCCAATCCATCAGACTGTCACCTACCCTCCTCACCTTTAGGTGCACCCTGAAAACCCATCTCTTCAGGGAAGCCAACCCCTCCCTCACCTAACAGTCGATCTCCTCCACTCCTCCTACCACTCCATCCCCCACAGCCACTTCCTCCTGTACTACTATCCCCTCCCTCCTAGATTGTAAGCTCGAAAGAGCAGGGCCCTTGAACCCCTCATGTATTGTTTTGTTACTGTATTGTCTCATGTTCTGTCCCCCACTATAATGTACAGTGCTCAGCAAACTGACACTGATGACGGGGCACTATTCCTCCCACAGACACCGATGACGGGGCACTATTCTCCCCCACTGACACCGATGACGGGGCACTATTCCCCCCCACTGACACCGATGACGGGGCACTATTCCCCCCCACTGACCCCGATGACAGGGCACTATTCCTCCCACTGACCCCGATGACAGGGCACTATTTCTCCCACTGACACACATGATGGGGCACTATTCCTCCCACTGACACCGATGACGGGGCACTATTCCCCCCACTGACACCGATGACGGGGCACTATTCCCCCCACTGACACCGATGACGGGGCACTATTCCCCCACTGACACCGATGACGGGGCACTATTCCCCCCACTGACACCGATGACGGGGCACTATTCCCCCCACTGACACCGATGACGGGGCACTATTCCCCCCACTGACACCGATGACGGGGCACTATTCCCCCCACTGACACCGATGACGGGGCACTATTCCCCCCACTGACACCGATGACGGGGCACTATTCCCCCCACTGACACCGATGACGGGGCACTATTCCCCCCACTGACACCGATGACGGGGCACTATTCCCCCACTGACACCGATGTCGGGGCACTATTCCCCCCCACTGACACTGATGAAAGGGCACTATTCCTCCCACTGACACAGATGACAGGGCACTATTCCTCCCACTGACACCGATGATGGAGCACTACTCCCCCCCCCACTGACACCTGATGATGAGCCACTGACACCGATGATGGAGCACTATTCCTCCCACTGACACCGATGATGGGGGCACTATTCCTCCCACTGACACCGATGATGGGGCACTATTCCCCCCCCCCCCACTGACACAGATGATGGGGCACTATTCCTCCCACTAGTATCAATGATGGGGCACTATTCCTCCCACTGACACCAAGTATTGACATTTGGTAGATATAGCCAGATGCCTGCACTTTCCTGGTGGTAACGGTCTGGAAGTAACAGGAGATGAGGGGGATTCCTCAACTTTCTGGAATTCCTCTTGTTGCCGCAAACACAAAGAACTGCCAAAGCAAACAATTCTAAATAAATAAATTGCTAAGAAGAGATGGGGGAGTCAACAAAGACTCACTGGAGTAGCACAGATCCACGTGTTCTTCTGCGATTTGTTGCTTTCCTGGGCTCTAGGTTTAGGTTTCTCAGAGCAAGAACTGCAAAACTGTAAAAATGTAAATGGCACACAGTGAAGGGATGGGGGGTGGTAAGTTCAGTCGCTAGCTGGGGTGAGCTATAAATGTGATTCTCCATTTGGTCCATTTCTTTGGCACTAGAATTACATTTCTGATAACAACATTATGTTACAATTGGCCCCACAGAAAGGGAAATGTTAAAAAATTGTAAAACAACTTCCTCCTAGTTATGTGGCGGTTGGCCGGAGGAACCGCTGAGCAAAGTGCTGTCTTGTACTCCTCTAAGTGTCCACTAGAGGCGACACTGTGCAGGAGTGGGAGGTGTGAACACACCTCCAGAGAAGTGACAACTCCTCCTCTTCTCTCATAGGGTTTTTTTTTAGATTCATGTGGTCAGGTAGGTGACATGTTTGCTCCTATTGTG